TGTTCTTTTTAGGAACTATGTGCAACGTCGATGCATATGGGCTATTTGACGGTCGTATGATTTTTAAATCTATCATGTGATCGAACTCCTTTTTTCGCCAACCTTAGCTTTCCTGGGGCTAGTCGTGCTTAAAAGAATACAGGTGGTTCTGTAGTCGTGACATGATGTGTAAAGTTGCTCGTTGCACTTGGTTACTTCGGTTGCGTTTGATGAATGCCAGGATACTTATCGAGTAATGGTTGATAAAATTGGTCTATCGTATGCCTAATTGTGACTGGGGATAATCTGCAACCAGAAAAAATAAGTTACGCAAACGGATACTTGGTATTTCCGTTTACTAGTCTCCGTTTGCGCGTATCGATGATTAGATTATGGTGTTGTAGAAGGTCCATAGCAATGATTGGCATAGAAACATCTGCAACAACTAAGATCCAGTGAATGGGTTGGCGTAAACCCACATTAAGGTAAACGTAACTTTTGCCATGCGTATCGATAGGTTTTCCGTTTGCCGCCTTAAATTTAAAGCGGATTCCTGAACCCTTTCGTTGGGATTCCCTGGGAGAACGCTAACGTCTGTGCCAGTGTCGACGAGACAGCGAACTCTCGTAGTTACATCTGTTACGTATAACATACGACTATGTTCGCCGACTTCGGTTGCCGTTAACGCGTGCCGGCTCTGTTATGTCATTCTGGTACTTTTGAGACTTTTCTTTGACTGAAAAAACCTCGGTAGTAGAAGATTCCGTACTTTCTAAGATACAATCGGCAAATTCAGCCAGCTCGTCTAAGGCGTTGTTCTGAAACGAGACCAGAACCGCTTGCACCTGTTGGGGAAGTTTGGACAAGAAAAGTTTTTTGACTAGGCCTTTGTCGAAAGTTCTTAGACCTATAACCTCCCTCATCCTTTGCAACATGTCCGTCGCAGAATCGTGTTGCAGGTCTATGTTATTAAAGAGTTGGTCTAACCTTTGTCGATCGCTTAGGTCTTCTCGTTTAAGGATAGGACGCTTTAATGTTTCGTACAGTTCAGAAACATCACTAGTAAACATACTGGGTGTTACGTACCTGTTGAATTCCCGCGGTAGTGCCTTAACTTCTGCGAGGAATTGTGAACAAGTATCGTTCACGCCGTGCTCGTGGAAGTCGGCTTCTGCTTAGCAGAAACAGGCTTCGATATAATCGGGCCAAGAAGGGCATGATTTGAAACGAGGGTGGGTACATAGTCCTAATCTTCAATACCTTGGAGATCTGTTCAGTCATAGGGAAAATTTAAGTACGAGAATACACGAGTGAAAAATATATAGATGTGCAAAAACGTGGGAAAAAATATCACAATGTATAAAAAATTAAAATAAAGCAATGATATATAGAATCCCAAAATGGAACAGACTCATAGTTTGCGACTTGGTGTACCGGATCACGTTAGGCTCACCAATGAAGATGTCACAGGTATTCAGCGTTTGACAACGCTTTTACCAGTAACACCTTCTAATATAACTCGTACCACTTAGAGAAATCAAAAGACAGAATCGAGGAGATCAGAAGTTTTATTTGACGATTGCCAATATGTCGGAATGATCTGATCTAATATGGCTAGTGATTGCAGTAGCAGTTGAGCACGGCGTTTCCACACGTGATCTGGTACGGATGCATGATCGAGAGCCTTCGGCTAGGTGAGTCCAATAAAACATGTGGTCAGCGTTCAATGTCGAAAACTTACAGAGCTATTTATTTTGGGGATTTATTTATCGCTACATTACTATATTTTTTATTTTTCTTACGCCTTCACTAAGTTTCGATGTTTCTTGCTGAACCGCATTTATGTTGTTTTACCTGGAACTTAGTCTTGGCGGCAGGCATATTGGTTTGTTCCTCCTTTTGATTGTGTTGCTTGTATTGACTGAAATTGTGCATTGAAACACTCTTCCAGAATCGGAAACACTCTGTGTTATAAAGCAACCAAATATTATCTTTTGAACGGATCTGTGCGTGGTCTATCCAGACAGGATAGAATAACATTTATTTGTTGTGATTGGTAATTTTCTCACATCCTTTATCAACTTTATTTATCGTAATTTAGATTTGATTAATTGAACAATTATTGGTTGAATAACTGGGTGGTCATATTTGTTTAGGTAACAATGTACATTTGAATTTATGATGAATCTTAGAATATTAGTCTTACTCAATCACTTTGTTTTGGTTTCAACCGGGTAAGGGCGCGTATCTAACCCACGTAGACAGCTATTATTCAGTCCAAACCGTATTTGGGATCTTACAATCCTGAAACCACTGGGTGGTAAGGGAAAGTTCTCCGCAGAATTATAGGTGTACTAAATAAATACTTGCAGCCTATTAAATAAAATGGCGGGGCTCATGACAATGGTACATTAAGAAATATCGGATGTTATTGCTGTTTCAGAAACATGGTTAGTATCAGAAGTTTTGGATGGTGAAATTCAGTTGACTGGGTTTTTATCCAGTAGGGCTGATAGACTGGACCGTGGGGGAAGTGGAATTATCCTGTACACGAAAATTACCTTGAGCATACGAGCAGTTGAGACAGTGGCACATGACTCAGGGACATGTGAACTGGTGCGTTGCAAGTTGGAATGTCGACAGCAATAAATTGAATTGGTTGTAGTATATTGGAGTCCAGAATGTGTAATAGTTGACTTCCTCCTAAGCAAACTTAAGTCCTGGTGTAATAAGGGCAAAGACCTTATGGTAGGCGACTTTAATGTGCCGTATATAAACTGGGTATCCTTAGAATTAGGGTCATCGATAACGCCATTCGTTCTCCAGCTGATAGCAGCCACAATTGCATTAACTTTATTCCAACACATTGGAGATCCCACCAGATATGACTAACGAAGCTCCTCTTCTCTTTTGGATTTGGTCTTTGCACACGGTAATGACGTCGGTCAAATGACATTCCTCCCACCACTATGGAGAAGAGATCATGCAGTCATACTATTCAAATGCATGACTGAGATTGTCAGTCCAAAAGTTACACCGGCCCGTCTTAATTTATGGAAGACAGACATGGTGGCAATCAACACCACAGCATCGGCTGAAAACTGAAAAAATTGACTTAGATGCATCAAAACAGGATGCATGGATTCATTTCAGGCAGTTATACAATCGGGTAACTCAACCACAAATACCCTGGATAGGCCGGGGTATTCAAAGAATAAATGTTGGAGTGTTGTTATCAGTCTTGGCATAGCGGGTACGATGGAACGCTAGAGGTCGGTAAGAAACACTTGCATAATTAAAATTCGGGAAGCTCTGAGAAAAATATGAAATGTATTCGGCACAATCTGCACTCAGAAAGCCTAAGGGAATATTCTTGTACATAAACTACAGAACAAGGATATATTATTGGATTCCTAACCTAACTAAAGAAGAGAGTTATTCTGAAACGATAGAGGAAGATCAGGAAAAAGTAGAGGCTATGGCTAAATATTTGTGGGCAGTTTTCACTCAGGAAACTCTTTAAGACAAAGAACCAGACCCAAATGCAGAGTCAATAAACCACCTGCTCACCGTAAACTTCGATCAAGACGATGTACTTAAGGCTCTTATCACCTTAGACATGGACAAGTCAACAGGACCAAATGAACTACACCCCAAAATTCTGAGACATGGTGCAAAATATATCACATTCCCACACATTGTGATATTCAATATATCACTTCATCAAGGTGTGTTACCTATGAACTGGAAGGATGCAGTGGTCACACTCATACATGAAACAGAACCAAGACAACTTCCATCGAACTACAGACCTGTCAGCCTCACCAGCATCGTGATTAAAATGCTGGGAAGAACAGTCGGAAAGACCATGATGACATTTGGGCAAACCAGCAGTTTGTTAAACAACGAACAACATGGTTTCAGAAAAGGTTTGTCCTGCACGATAAACCTCCCTAAAGCAATGGAGCTCTAGACAACGGAAAAGGAGTGGGTGTTGTCTACATAGACTTCAGTAAAGCATTCGACAAAGTGTCAACATTTAGACTACTATTTAATCTAGAAAAACTTGGTATTGCCGGTACCGCTGGATTGCTCCTTAAAATGCATTAAGGATTTCCCAGAAAGTCGTAGACAGAAAGTAAGAATAAGTTCCAAGTGCTCCACCTAGAGACCAGTGCTTATTGGAGTACCTCATTGTTCTGTCCTAGATTTCTTACTTCTTACAGTGTATGTTAACGATCTCTCAAATTCAGTACAGTGCGCAATATTATTATACGTTGACGATGTAAAAATCAGGTGTTTAATTTCAAATGCTCCACATAAGCCTAGACTTAAACTCCACGTTAACCTTGAATGACCAACTTAAGACAGATTTTAGATTTGTGTAGTAAGGACAGAATACATACGGCCTATGTTATTGCCTTTTTAGTATGCTTCTATGAGTGTCCGGTTTCCCCTTGGATGAGTCACTTGAAGGTGCGGAAACTACTGATAAAAGGTTCCAAGTATTTGATTACTCGGTGTGAAAACATGTACTTTGTTCCCTTTTGGATTTTCTACTAGCCTGCTATGTCCTATGAGATGTGCTGATAGAATGGGAAGAGAAAGAGAGAAAATGTTGGGTTCAAAATCATTTCTTAGTATTCTAGACTTCAAAGTTAGATCTCCCTTTAGTTTGCGATATGACAGAGTAAAGAGGTCTAGCTTTTCAGGCCGCTCTTTGTAGGGCGGAGTTCTGGAATTGCATGAACAGCTGTCCTCACTACTTCTTGTTGGATATCCGAGTCACCTTTTAAACAGGAGCTTTCAGCCTCGACGCAGTTTTCAAAAGTAGTCATCAAATACTTGGAACCTTTTATCAGTAGTTTCCGCACCTTCAAGTGACTCATCCAAGGGGAAACCGGACACTCATAGAAGCATACTAAAAAGGCAATAACATAGGCCGTATGTATTCTGTCCTTACTACACAAATCTAAAATCTGTCTTAAGTTGGTCATTCAAAGTTAACGTGGAGTTTAAGTCTAGGCTTATGTGGAACATTCGAAATTAGGCGCTACGAAGTTCGGATTTTTAGGTGGGTGAGACTATGATACATAGACAACCTTTGAAAGGTGCTGCAGTGACTTTGAAGATTTATTCATTTGCTTGGGTTAAAAGAGGGTTGTAAATTACCGTTACGAATTAGTATTTAAAGTCATGAGTTGGGGTTAGGATAAGCTAAAATCCCAAAATACTACTTAACCACATGGATAAACCAACTTCTCGGAAAAATTCAAGTCTTACTTTCCTCAATTTCACTGGTTTGTCCTCAGATTATACCCTTATCTCAGATTGTTTTAGTTTTGCTTATGTATTGTTGATAGTGTTTGTTGGATGCTTTAACCGTCCAGTGTAATCGCACTCTTGTTAGTTTCTGAATCGTCTACTCACTTGTTTTCTCGTAGTCCACGCTCTTTTTCATGCTACCGGAGGCTGAACATTGAAATCATATGGATGACGAAAGCCGTTCATAAATTGTCTGTAGTTGAGTTTGTTCTTTGGATTTTTTTCACTAAAACTCGTAAGCCGACTTTAATAATTAGTAAGCTAACTATTGATAGTCAGCTATTGTGGATAACCTTTGAGCGACGCTAAATTGACTTTGGGAGTGTCTACCTACTTACTATGGCTAAATGAGGTTTATAAAGCAGTTGAATGAGTAAGGATTATTATCCACAGTTGATGGTTATGTTTAGGAAATAGTTTTGCGGTTTCGCGTCACGAACTAACATGAGTTAAAATGCTAAGACGCTATTCGGCCAAATGGGCTAGTGAATTTCACGCCAAAATTCAAGACCTGTTATCCTAAATCTGGTTAGTTCGTCCATTGATTATAGTCTCACCAAGTAGGGTTTAACCGGTCTAGAGTGAAACAAATGGATAGAAATACGTTTGTATATTGTTTTTCGGGATATTAGTTCTGAACCGTGTGAATGAGTCATACGGAGTGAAGACTTGTTAAGTTTCATAAACATTTTTTTGTTTTAGAAGTAAGGCCTATAAACCCTAATGGTTTAAAAATTGTGTTCAGTTATCACATATTGTCTAAATACAATCTTTCAGTAACATTAGCGTGACTTCAATTGTTGGGAAACGGTCATATGCAAATTAAATGCGAGGATATGCAGTTGATGTTGTTGCTCCTACTGTAAGGTATTCTACATAAATCGCTGTTCACAAATACAACGCTTCATTTGTGTATTCCTTGGAGATGAAACCTGGAATGTGAATAGAAATGAAGACATGTTGAACTATTTCTACTAACATGCTAGTTATCCTGCATACATGTTTGCATGTTGGAAAAGTATTTGAAGATATTGGTACTATGAAATCATAGATCTTGTATCGATTTCGAGAGAACTGTATACTAGGGATTCCGGAAGTAATGTTTAGTCAGTTTACCCATGAAAATTAACTGAGAGAAGAGTACAGGTTCGCATTTCTGAGCATATTCCGAAGAACTTGACGCTGCGAGGGACCAAAGCTTTTAACAGTGCAATAGCTCGGCATCTACTTGACACCGGGCATACCGTCGATATTCTGCACGCGTTCAAAATTATCAATAGACATAAAAGTACTACCACTCTCCGCTTTGCTGAAGCGATTGCGATTAAGAAACTGAAACCGGATTTATGCATTCAAAAAGAGACTTTAATAAACTTATCACTACCCTGGTAATCTTTTTGTTTCTGTTTGTTTTGTGTTTTGGTTATTTTCATTCACTTATTCTGAGATATTTTATACTCCCCCCTATTACCTAATTTTTAAAATAAATTTTATTCACACATTTCCACCACCTGATCCTCTTAAATTATCTTAACTTTCCAAATTCTATTTAATTATTATTACGTAATCTACCTTATCATTATTTAATTCCATTAATCTCTACAATTATCACAATTTATGAACTTCACTAAATTATTACACCACCCACCCTGGATTAACCCCCCTCTTTTGACCTCTGACCTGTTTCTAGCATGCATATATATATATATATATATATATATATATATATATATATATATATATATATATATATATATATATATATATAGTTATTATTGTAATCCAGTTATTTACACTCATTTATGTCAATTGTTTTCACACTATCTCCATGTAACACAAATTCTACCACAATTTTGATTTTTAAGCAGCTGACGAGAAACCTCGAAATAATATGAATTCATACTATTCTGCATCAATGTTTGTTCTTGCTCTATTCAAATTAATTTATCCTGTGAACTATAATTGTGCTCTTAAGTCCTCTTATTTGTCACTTTAACTAATGAATCTTTCGAAATGCAGATTATAATGGCATTGATAGAACGAATGAGCATTCTTGGAATTCGAAGTTTTGGACAGGAAACACCTCAAAAAATTGAATTTTTTACACCTGTCACTTTGATTCTTGGTCAGAATGGAACGGGAAAAACGGTTAGTTACTAGTCTAACTATTTGTTCGCCACTGCTATTTAGACTTAATAAAGTATCTGCTGATTACTATTTGGACTGTACGAATGTATAATTAGCTCTCCCCTCTGTACTAGCTTGTTTATTGTTGCTAAGGTTCCCATTTTTCGTACATATATTCACGTTTACTTAACCTTGTCATCGACACTTATAGATAATAATTTCGTCCACCTTTTCAGGAATCGGTCCACTACTAGGAGTGATCGGCTAGAATTTGTGGTGGCTTTTCCGTAACACTCATTTGAACTTACTCTAATTTTTGAACAAAAAAACTTACATTGACCTTTTTGTAACTTTGTACATTTGGCTTTGTTAATTATTCGCTTGTATTCCTGAGCGTTTTTATGAGTGCAGATTTGTGTATATCTACCCTTTTATTACCTTTCTGCGTAAATAAGTGCATGAAATAGACGTATACAGAAACATTTCGTATTCAACTCCTGTTATCCATCGTTGTATTAACGTGGTGAACTAATAGAATATGTACGAAGTTAAATAAGACATGTGTTTTACTAGTATTATTCGCCATCGCTGTCATTATGGAATCAACACGGTAATTCAAGCTAAGGCATCCGACCTTCGGGTACCAAGTTCCATGTTTGAATCACATCCACCTACTTCCGATTGGGAAACCAGGTATTATTTTAAGTCCTCATACCTGATGTGGCACATACTCAAGTGCCTTGGCAATGAGTTAAATATTTTATGCGAAAAGATCCACTTATAACACGACGTAGTTTTGTTTAGTGAAGACGCTGACAAAATGCAGTCTTCTAATCTCCTTGAGCAACAATGCCAATATGTTTGGAATTCGATTTTATCCCTCTAAATGCAAAATGTTTCAGGAATGGTTTGCGTCAACACCTGAACTAATGATAGGAAGGGGGGTATTTCAACTGACCGATCACTCCACGTACCTCAGAAGGCTTATGAGCATTGGTTTATTTGTGTCATGTCACGGAATCAGAAGGCTTGTTTGACTTTTATCAACTTCCACCACTTGTGAGGTATGCGAGATGTCCGTCTGTCAACTAAAGGACGAGTTAACTAGGCAGTAATTTGGCCTGTTCCATTTTACGGTTATGGAACACAGCCATTAAGAACAGAGGATATTCATAGGTTACTGGTTTTCGATCATAGGTGTTTTCAAAGTAGTTCTCGTGTATGTCGGTACCACCGAGTGAGCGATGCTGATGAGAGGTATAGGGTGCTATATTAAGATAACGAACCGGTTGATGAGGTAGTGAACCTTCATCAAATAAGTGGTTGGGACGTGCATTACGTATATCCAACCACCACCTACCTCGATAGGCGATATATCTGGCCTAGGAGTGGGGTGGGAGAAATTAAAAGAGCCAAATCAAAACATAGCATCAGTCTATGAAGTCATTAACTGTTGGGTTGAGCTATCTAGGTAGGTGCAGATTACGTGGTTGGGGTCCGCGCGATTAACGTAATCAGTGGCTGGAGATTTTTTATACAGCTTAGAATCGACTGGAATTTCATAGACACACCCAATCTTTGTTTCCTGATTCCCCGAATCTCATAAATTTTTTTCTTTCTATTACCTACTCTTTTCTACTATTTTATGTAGTTACTATTACTAGCACCGTATGTTTTAGCTCGGCTCAACACTGTTAACAACTTCTCCTAGTACTGATAGTAGTACGATGCTTTTGTAGTTCTTTATTTGGTATCTTGATGAGGTATTCCTTCCAGTCTGTCGGCGCTTGTTCTTCCTCCCAAATCTTTCTGAAGAGAATGTGGAGCATCTTTGCAGTTACTTCAGTGCTTCAGCTGGTATACTCCTGCTTTCCCACTCTTGATTTAACTAATGGTCATCCTAATTTCTTCAATCGTTGGTGGAGTGACATCTATAGGAAGGTTTGTGTATGCTGCTTCGATATCCAATGGATTCAGTGGAGTTGGCCTATTCAAGAGTACTTCAAATTATTCTACCCACCTATTCCTCTGTTCTTGAGTCTTGGTGATTGTCTTGTCTTCTTTGTCCTTGACTGGTCCCTCTGGTTTACTATATTTCCCTGTTAGTTTCTTCGTCATTTCATATAGTTGTTTGATATTTCCTTCTCTCATAGCTTTTCCCAATGTCGTTGCTAGGTCTTCCACATGTTTCCGCTTTTCGGCTCTAATGCTCCTTTTCACTTTCTTGTTTGCTTCCGTGTATTTGACTGTGACTTGTCTTTTTATGCTCCTGTTTGCATGTTGTTGATTACTGTCTTCTTGTCCTTCCTTTCTTGAATCTTGTTCGGGGTATCAGTAGAGATCCACTCTTTAAGCTAGTGCTTCTTTCGACCCAACGCCTCTTGGCATATTGAATTTATTGCTTCTTTAATTCTTTTTCAGTTGTTCGCCATAGTAGTTTCCTCTTTTTTGAGTAGATCTTGTAAGGCTTGGAATTGATTGCTGAAAGTATCTCGAATTCGTTGAATTTTTCAGCATCTCGAAGAAGCTCTGTATTATATTTTATAGTGCTGTTTCTCTAGATTTCTAGTGCTTCTTTGGCTTTAGTTTCGTCTTGGCCACAATCAAGCGATGATTTGAATTTATATCAGCTCTTCCATTTGTTCCCACATTTATGAACCTTCTGAACTTCTTACTCAACCAAATGTGATCGATCCGGTTTATTCTAGTGTGGCCCTTTGAAACCCGTTTAACTTTGTATATGAGTTCGTGGGGAATATTGTGACACCTATAACCATTTTGTTGAAAACACATAAACTTTCAGACCTCTCACCATTTTCGTTCCTTTCTCCCAGACCATGTCTCATGATATCTTTATACCTGATGTCCATGCCGACCTTGGCATTTATGTCTCCCACCGGAATGATCAGGTTCTTTCTTAGACACTTCTTCATGATCTATTGCAGTCTCTCATAAAACTGATCTTCATCATCTTCATTGCTATAATTAGTGGACGCGTAACACTGGATAATATTCATTGTAATCCCCTCCTTTTTTGAAGGAAGTTTTGATAATTTTAGGTCAATGAGATTGCCATTCTTTAAGTGCATTTCGTACTTCTTTGAATAACATCAGTTCAACTCCTTGTGTGCGCGAAGCATTTTATTTTTCGTGGTCGGAGTACAACAGCACCTTTCCCGAATCTAACCTTTTCTGTCTAGCTTTAGTTGCTCTGGTTGTCAGAGGGGGTGTCGGCCCCGTGACTCCTGTTGAGGATGTTAGATCCCAGAACTCACTTGGTAATTACCTTATTTTCGTAATTCTATTTTAAAAATTTGAATTTCCTGTTTTCGCGCCAGAGCTCTCATTATTTTTACCTTCATTTCGTATTTCCTACTTGAGAGGATCTTAAACGCTATTGGTTCGTTGTATCTTTTAGTATGCTATTTTGTAACGCTTCCCAAAGACAATTTTATGCTGTATATATACTTTGACTTGTGCTTGTTGTTGTAGCTCGTGCTTCTGGCTGCTTGTGGAGTATATTTCCCTTTTCTGAACATGAACTTCTCTCTCTAGTTAACGGGGCTGGGATGCGTCGAAATAGCTAGCTTATCTGCCATTATGTCACAGTCTTCGTTCCGTTCTCAGATTAGGTAAACTCGTAATGTCTTCAAACATAGTAAGTTCTAAAGAATCTCCGCTTTCACCATGAGGCTTCATAACACTTATAAATAAAGATCCTTCAACTTCTGAAACAGTGTTTAAATGGTCTAAGTGATTTTCTCTCGTTAGCGTCTTTTGGCATGGTTGTTTTCTACGGTTACAAATCCAACTCTCTAGTTGTAGGAGAAGTTTTTGTGGATACTGAAAGTTCTGGATAATAAGTACCAAATGTTCCTTTTACATTTTATTAGGATGTCAGCTGAAATTAGTCTGAAAACATAATTGTTTATTCCATGTTTTCCTCAGATAGGATATCCACAGTTTAAGTCTTCTTTGGATTATTTGCAACCTTGATGCTGTGGAATGCGCACCAAATATTTTCGCTGTCACAGTTGGTACATTAAGGTTACAATATTTCTGTGAGATCATTTAACAAGAGTTTGTAACAAGAATCTTGTTTTAGTTCTAAGATGTGATATAGGGGCAAGATTCTTCGAGACTATTTATCATTTTCTCCCTGATCTGCTGATCGTCATTCAGTTTACAGCTAAATACGTTCAAGTGGACTTATCGCTGCCACAGGACTTCTGAATTAGTCCCAGTTTGAAAAAATGATTCACCTTGGTTTGATACTCGCATAATATTATTAATCCTTGAAAAAGCGCATCTGTATGAAACCGCTTAGTTGCTAAGTTGTAACAAAAGTCTTTAGGTATTGATAATTCACCATGTCATCGGGTCTTACAGCGGTGAGATAGGAAGTTTTTAATCCGAAACCTTATCAAAGGACTAAGTATACAAATAAAATACTTCATTAACGCAGATTTTATGGGTTATATAAATTAAAAGTGATCAAATAAGTTGGAAACTTTGTTCAGATTCGCAATTATCTTTCGTACCGTTGAAAGATTATTTTCCTAGTGGTTACACAATAACTTGTTGAACTAGTTGAATTAACTAGAATTAATCCAAGGGGTAGGGTGGGGTAAACCAAATTTGATTTTAGGTACTGAGTTTCTCAGTACAGAGTCAAGTATTTTGTTAACATGCCTAACTATTCATCGTCCTTGTTCTTGGGAATATTCCTGCTACAGACGTTCGTCATAAGACATCATAAATATTATTCAAAGGATTGTGCTTTCTGACCGAAGGTTTCCATATTGTTTTAGATATTATGCTCGACTTATTTCGACACCATAAAATTCATTTCATGTAATTTGAAGCGTTTTTCTACGAACGGTCAGCAGCATTTTTGTCATATAAAAAATCAAAGGTCAAGCAAAGATGATTGGAATAATAAAGTGACATCTGGTGTGTTATATTTAGTAATTAATTTAATAACTAACTGGTTTGTACCTTAGCGATTTTAATTTTTGCTATGTCATCATTTGACATAATCATTCTCTCTCAAAATAAATCCAAAAATATCTTTAGGGAATGAACAGTTACTTAATTGTTTTACAGATGCTTTTTAATGTATCTATGGTCCAAATTATAATTTATTAGAAAGTCTTCATTAATCATATCAGGAATATTATGTTTCAGACTGTCATCGAGTGTTTGAAATATTCAGCAACTGGAGAACTACCTCCTGGATCGAAAACTGGGTGTTCATTTATCCATGATCCTAGAGTAAGTGTTTACCAGTTGTTTATTAGAGTAACTCACTTCTTGTTCGTCCTTTATCATGCCAATGACTTTTCGATAAATTACATTCATTATAAAACGTCCTTATCTTCTCTTTCATCACTATGTATTCGAATATTAAATTTCGTGCTCAAATTAATTAGTTTTCTTCCAAAGTATTTAATAGAAAATTCAGTTCTTAAGCTCTGGTTCATTGTTGACCGAAATTGCATGGTTGGATTTTGTATTCATGTCTGTTTGCTAAAGTGACCAAACTTGTTTGTTGAGAGCCTAAACATATAATGTCGTTTAATTGGCTTATTCGATACCACTAGTTCGTTATAACATGTCTGTCTTACCAGTCCAAAAAGTAAGATACAACAAAGTCATATATTATCACTTGTTCTGAAAACATTTTCATCTTTTCCGTATCCTTGACAACGACGTCCAGGCCCATGGTAGTTGTGGCTCGTAAGTATTCAAAACCTTTATTATTTGAACTAAGTTGTGGTGAAACAGTTCGGATACACTACGTAGATTGTAATTGAAACTGATCTCATGAATTTAGATATCATACTCCTTCCCCATTTGTGTTGAAATAATCACAACGCTAAATATGTTCCAAATTTTGTATCATTTGTCGTTTCGAATTCGTCTAAATAAAATTTTGAAGCCCTAATTTGTTTTAATAGTTTGTCGTATTGGATTATGCGTTGATCTAGTCAAAATATCTTCATCGTTGGAATGGTTTTGTAAATTTAAGTATGTTAGCGATGATTATAATCTCAGGATTAATATATTCCTTGGTGGTCACCACACAGGAACATACGACCGTTGAACTAGCTAAGTTAGGAAGGTACTTATTCATTAGAAGTGGAATACAAAAGTTCTCATATTTTTTGAACCCAATAATTCAGTTGTATCGCAATAATTTGAATTATATTTCTTTACACGTAAAAATTTTGCTGACCCAAAAATATTTAATTATCTCGTATATAACACAGTTATATACCTTACTTAGTCTTCTTTCTAGAAATTATTAATTTTACAAACCACGTCAACTATTTAGTCACTTATTTGATTTAAATGAAGCACAATACTTAAAATGTTACTCGTTTTGTATAGTGTTCAAGAGTATAAGTGTCAGTCGGTTCGTCCTTCATTAAATTTCATAACTACAAAATAACTAATAAAAGGTATCTGATGAGAATAATCACATGGATGATTTTTATTACTGGAATTAACTACTATAACACCATACATATGATACATATATGCCAAAGCCATATATATTGGATATGCACCTTTTCTGTCTCTGATAATGCACGTATGCATTATTTTTCCGCTTAGTCAACTGATGATTAATATTCATTCTTCTAAAACGAGAAAGCTTATTTTAAAATAATCATAATTTTTGGGTTTATATATGGAATTTGTGGCAGTCATCTCGCCTGATATTATTCCTAACGTTTAAGGGTTGCTTGAAAATTTATGGTTACCTATTTTTTCCCAACTTTCTATGGAATAAATAGTTATGGAACGATTATTCATTTCATAAAAAGCACGTCTTATTTATAATAACGTCTTTATAAATTAATTATGAAATATCATACCTATAGAGAAATGTGTTACTCAATCTAATTCACCATAATTAACGAAAAAAGTGATGACTGTAATCTATTCATCTTTTTCTCACGATTTTCTCACATAGATAGCACAAGAAAGTGAAGTGAAAGCCAAAGTCACTCTTCAAATTCGTGATGTTAAAGGTTGTCCTATGGTTGTTTCACGAGCACTTATGGCAACACAGCGTGATAAAGTAAGATTTTCTCTCTACACTTTCATAAATAGTTCAGATCTATTATAAATACACACTTATTTTTGTTTGATATTTCTTAAATTTCCATTCTTTTTCGAAATCGTTCTGTTATCGGATCGCAAAGTGGATGTGTCAGTGATTTTCGCGTCGTGATAAAAATCTCGCTTTTCCTTAATAATAGTTATATAGCACAACATTTACATAAAACTGGAACTTTTTCACTGAATGCTTCAAACCTCAAATATCCTGGTTATGCCAGTAATGCGACATTGCTTCACCCTCTTGCGAATTAGATCCTTAGATCAATTGTTCGGGAAGTTGTATCCTAAGAAAACCAACTACTTCTATTTATATCCTACTGTAGTGAACGAGAACACACAAGTGATGGGACAACCAAATGTATTTAAATACCAAATTACAGAATATCTTGGTAAAATATAAGAACCATACACTAAATATTCCATTTGCAAATTTCCGTCATTTGTCCTTCACATTCTGTATGATTCTTCCGATTCACAATTCCTTTCTAATTCCTTTTCTGTTTTCTTCAAGTCAAACTTGATAGCCTTCTGCTACCAGGTTTTCCACTTCCTATTAATGTTACATCCTACTTATATCTGTTGACACAAGTAGCATGCATCACATTACCAGTATGTCAACCTACACGTAAATAAAAGGATACTCATGAAAAATGTGAAAATTGTGATTCACTTATCTGTTACGCTAATGCTGAAAGTATCATAAAGATAATAGTCATTTTATTTTAATTGAATTTATTTTATTTTGGTTTGACATCCTACTTTGTTTTGTTTTCATGCTGCTTTTACGTTTTTTTACACCGATTTCAATCCTTAACTCACTCAGTAGTTTATCTCCATTGAATGTCCTGCCCTTTCCAAACTGTCAGACCATTAAATGGTCGATTTTATGATTGTTTTCACTATATACGAAACCTAATACGGCTTTTCTAAAGGTGCGTCCGCACTTTGTTGCAGATCAGACAACATATATACTTGCTCATATCTTTGGGAAGCTTTACTGTATGATGAATATCCGAGACCCTCATTCAAGATTCTACAAAAGCACTACTAATTTACTCCTCAATTATTGGTTTTAAAAGTCTGTGTGTAGGGTGAAATATACATTTCCCTCGGTTGAATCTGGCCTGCCGCTCAGTGGAATAGTTCAGCTTGTCCCGTTTTAGTGTTGCTAACTTTCATTCCGTTCTCTGGTTTAGGCGATATCGTAATCTCTTCAAACGTAGCATCATGTACTAGAGTGGAGGATCCCGATTGACAATCTTTTATGCGCTGTCAGGTTAGAAGGTTCAATCAGAGCGAGAAGGAACGCTAAAAATAACATCTTATCATAATCCCAGACTACGCTCTGATGAATTATATCATTGATACAAAAAGCTAGTTCAAACACTACGTGATATCCGTAAAGATATTTTAGTGCCAACTGGGTGCTCAATTGTACATGTCGGAGACAGAGGAGGGTCTTCTGGGTGGATGATTTGTACTCGATGGTCTCAGAGCATATGACGGGGATATCTTCTAGAGTTTTGTATAGATCACAACCAGTTTCTACATAAAATCAACTTCAAGCCCAGTTATTGCATATATGCTGTGTCGTGTCTTCCTTCTATATCCAAATACTGGTCTCAAGTCGATTACATTATCAATGACTATTAATCGGGTGCATAAGACCACCACTCTTCTTAAATTACCTATCTGCATTCTGGTCATCGCTTTGTTTCCGCAGAGCTTTTCTTGGGTTTTAATGATCAACAAATGTCTCGTGTCCTAAACGGATTAAAATAAGCTAGTTGGTCACAGCTTCTATTGAAACCAAAAATGTAACCGAGCTAGTTTAACCCAAAATATGAGAAATTTTTCTAATCTAAAACAGATATGATGCTCCTAGACATACCGGTCGACTTATACATAACAATGTTAGGAAACTGTATTCAAATAAGTGAAATAATATGGTAGAATAAAAAAGTCAACGTTATATTTGTTGTTTTTATTGGAGTTAAAAAACAGAAATTCCATAAGACATCAGTAAATGAAAGCGAAAATTATTTTCACCTTAATTACAAGAAGTACTGTTGTTGCCTTCGCATTGTGTGGTTTTCATTTGTATTCTGCTAGTTAATCATCTGTTTGTTATTTCTCAAGAGTTTTGGATAGGGAAGGTAAATCTGATAAATACTTTAGCTATTAGACCACTGAGCTGGCATCCAACGGTGTTAATGTCTAACTTCAACCAATCCACGAAGTTGCGCCACCGTACACCATTGTCTTCAGTGAGTTGTTATCTCACAACAGACCGGTTGAACTCCACTGGTAACGGCTTCTCACTAGAACTCCAGGAGATTTTCCTGAAGTCAGTCACTAGTGAGCAGTTGATTATAATCAAAATGGGTTTTTGTAGAGAGTTTAACAAATTTCACAAGTTGAAATCATGAGTCAGTTGAAGCTAGACCACCATTGAAAACCTGGAAGCACTGGACGGCCGTTTCATCCTAGTATGGGACTCCTCAGCAGTGCGCATCCACGATCCCGCACCACGCGGGGCTCGAACCCAGGACCTACTGGCTTCGCGCGCGAGCACTTAACCACTAGACCACTGAGCCGGCATCCAATGGTGGTCTAGCTTCAACTGACTCATGATTTCAACTTGTGAAATTTGTTAAATTCTCCACAGAAACCCATTCTGATTATAATCAACTGCTCACTAGTGACTGACTTCAGGAAAATCTCCTGGAGTTCTAGTGAGAAGCCGTTACCAGTGGAGTTCAACCGGTCTGTTTTGAGATAACAACTCACTGAAGACAATGGTGTACGGTGGCGCAACTTCGTGGATTGGTTGAAGTTAGACATTAACACCGTTGGATGCCGGCTCAGTGGTCTAATGGTTAAGTGCTCGCGCGCGAAGCCAGTAGGTCCTGGGTTCGAGCCCCGCGTGGTGCGGGGTCGTGGATGCGCACTGCTGAGGAGTCCCATACTAGGATGAAACGGCCGTCCAGTGCTTCCAGGTTTTCAATGGTGGTCTAGCTTCAACTGACTCATGATTTCAACTTGTGAAACTTTAGCATTATTTAGATCTTTTACTACCATTAACTGGCTTTTGTTACCAAGCAAATTATTTCAAAATAATTTACACATGATATTTAATGAGGTTCGGGCTATACAAAAAATTCAATAAAATTAAAAATGTGAACCTTCTATATTTTGACTTATCGGTCCAATATCATCGTATTCTGTAATGGACCTAAAGATTATAAGTTTGACCATTTAATATACAGTTGCTAAACAGGAGCCACTTGGGCCATGGCGATTCCGATCATTACTTACTAGATCCAATATATTTGTCTTATAAACTATGATTGGCTTCCTTGTGGCTTATGGTATTTACTGCTTGCGTCTTACGTTAATGCTACCTAAATTCTCATTCTGAATACTTTCTAGGAACTCTACTGGTTTTAAACATTTGTTACTTGGTTAGTGTAACTAAAGTTGCTATCGATATTTCTTTCCATTCTCACTTGATTACCCTCTCTCACAATAGGTTTGCACAACATTTCAATGTGTTGACTCCTGATAATACCGTGTCCAAAGTAAAACGCGTAGTTCTTTCTGTGAACTTCTTAGTTAAAAAAGCATATGCAAGATAATTTGCATCCACTTGGTTACAAGTTTCAATGCTTGTTCAGGAACTAGCATCAAATTGACGAAGACTGATTAGTCGTAAATATACTTCATAAGTAAAAATAAAATTATATGAAAACGCTTTAGAGCTTAACGGTAGATTGTTTCAGTAGTATTGCTTGTTACTCTCTGAGCTTAGTTTTAATATCAACCTTTTTTTCTAAGTGCTATAAAGTACTTTCTTCATATTCACTCAACAGACAAAGCAAGGGACTTTAAAAACTCTGGATGGATCAATAAAACGTCAGTACTCAGACGGACGTGTTACAAGTGTCAGCCTACGATGTACTGACCTAGATCAGGAAGTAAGCCCTATTTTCGTTTCTTACTGAGCAACATAAAGTCCCTTTTTTTCTTAGATGTTTTTGTGACAGTTTTTGATATTGGAATGGTTATTTCGCTTTTGAGTAGTCATGTTTAGATAAAACCAGTTGTGACCTAACACATTCATCTGTGTAACACTAGGATTATTATTTGTAGGTTGATGAATTCATGGTGAAAAATAAGTATGGCTGTATTTTCTCCCCCGAAAAAAGATAACATTCTTAATACAACCAAAATCGTGAAATATTCGCTGAAGTATGGCAGAATTTTTATTCATCAAAAGGAAGAATTTCTTATTTCAGAAGCATGAAAGTAAAATTTCTTAAGAATAGTCATTGAATACACTAGTTAAGAGAACTTATACTAGGGAGTAACACGATAGTCTGCTGTAGCCTACAGTTATGAAATATATCTGCTAATACTGCACCATGTACATCTTCAAAGTGATGTTACCACTGAGTCAACAACATAAAATAAGAGTTTGATTTCTAGATAGGAAGGTGGTAATGCAACTAATAAAGTTCATAATTCGTACACTAAATACAGCCTACGTTGTTTTATTCAATAATTTCTGTGGTTGTGACTACGTCCTAAACTAATGGTTCGGTCTTTTATCTTTTGAAATTCGGTTAGATGGTTACAAGTTTGGGTGTATCAAAAGCTGTCTTGGAAAATGTTATCTTTTGTCACCAAGAAGATTCTAATTGGTCAGTTCCTCTCTTTTAATGTGCTTTTGTTTTGCACTTATAACATCAGTTATTCTAATCCATATTTTGCTAGTATTTTGAATATTCCTTCTTGGAGGGGTTACTTGTTGCTCTAGCATTACCTTCGTCCATTGGGTTACGGTTTTGGATCTCTTATTTCCAACTAAAAGTGAACATAACTATTCAGTTATCACACTCTAACATGTGTAACTGGACATGAATCTCATTAGTCATGCATAATTCCTTGTTCCAGACAACGAATCAACTATTTTGCATGAATGCTAATGATAATACTTGACTGGGTAGGTGTTGTTATGTAAAGTGGAATTCAAATAGGCGTCTCTGTGATTGAAGTTCAATTGTTCTAGTTGCCCTAGGCATCGAAACTAACCAGATTCAATGAACTGAAAGGAGACTACTGTCTATCGAATGATCCTATGAGAAAACATTTCTGAACAAGTTACTTTACCGATGACTTGTCTTCCTAAAAGACCTGGTCATTTAAAGGTTTGTGTCTTCATACCGGATAATAACAGTAAGGAATAGCTGCGGTGTAAGCTTTCATTCAATGGCATCATGAAGTACACAAGGGTATAACTTGTTGAGTCTCTTATTCCGGGATCCTACTTATTATGTTAATTCAATATGACATAGCTAACCCTAAGACCTATTAAATATATTTTACATTTTACAATAGTCCTTAACTGGCAACTTAAGTTGTATTGCAATTCACTATCTGTTGTTATGCAGTTTCCCGTATCCTTCATTATAGGCCTTTACAAGAAGCGAAATCGGTAAAACAACGTTTCGACGATTTGTTTGCCTCATCACGTTATGTGAAAGCACTGGATGCCATTCGGAAGTGTAAACAAGACAATGTTAGTTATGAAACTTAGTAGCATTCAGAATTTTTCTTTCAATAATACGTGGATCAAGAGCTATACTTTTGATTTGAATTTTAATGTTAGTTTTATTTAGGTATTTTACAAAAGGTTGTTCTTAACTTTCGAAACACTTCACAAATATATACAGTTTTTAAATTTAGGTGTCTATGAGAGTGCTTAACAGTCTCTGATCTGATAAATAATATTAGGTTTTGCTCGGTCTATATTCTTACGTATATCGTAATAATCTGTTTCTTAAACACTTTTAGGGAAGGTTAATGGCTCGATTTTTATATAAGTTCTCATCTTAAAATTGTAATCTTAACCTTGCATGGTAAATATGACGGATATCTTACCATAATATAGTTTTTTTTAGAGTTGTTCTGTTTCCCAATGTCGAATCATGTCAGTGACTCCGTTCTAATCACGTGAAGAATTAAGTGCGTTTAGGTACTGGAGTTAAATATAATGTTCTGTTAGACTTTTTAATATATTCCAGGTCCAGCTTTTATTTTCAGTTTAATTAATTGATTTGTCAATTATTTGTTCGAACACAAACACTGGTTCAAGAGGGCACCAACCACATATACGCCACACATTAACGATGAAATTGAAGAAACAACCTCCGTTTGTCGTCATACTCACAGTCACCTGAAGTTGACCTACGTGCTTTTATCAGTTGTAAGGAGCCTGTAGAAACATAATGTTTGTAAGTGGGACGTTTCTCGAAGCCACAAGCGACTTTACTCGTTATTTCCATGGCGTCATGCAATTGCATCCAATGCTCATCTATACTTTTGAATGGGCTAATAGTTAGCCTTGAACCTTGTTGAGTTTGATATTTAGTTGCAATAGAAGCTGCAACCAATTTGCTGACATCAATCCTTTTAGGGTGATGAATTTGTTGTCCACTGATGCGTAAGATAGGATTAGCGCAAACAAGGGCATGATAATAGTCCACATAAGTACTCCTAAAGGAGCAGCAACTAATGCTAGCAGCACCAAAAGAAGATGCTACAGTGTCCGTGTATAAACGCGCATAAAACAAGCTTTTCGAAGTGACAGATGGAGAGGGAATTTGTAGTACTTCACTAAAGCCTCAGATAGACAACAGACATCGATGTTGAGACCTAAAGTCATAGCAAACCCTATATGTTGCCGGATTTGCGTTAGTGTGGGAACTTTGAAGGAGGCCAGTTTGAATGGTATACGTGGTTTTCGAAAGACTGGTCCAGTATTGCTAGTCGGTGGCGGCATTCAACTTTCATCCAGTCAATGACTTGTGATCTTTTGGATAGGAAAGGGTTTCCACCATAGGTAAACTGCTGTACAAGTTGAAAAATAAAAGAATGCACAAAAATATACAAGTGATATAGTATAAAAAAATAAACAAATGTTACCAAACGATTTTGAATGTGATTTGTCTAATCGCAAATTGAAGCGAGAATAACTTTTTCAGTTGTAATAATGATTTGATTTGTGTGTGGGCTAGGATACTTTCTATGCTCCCAGACTGAGGAAAATGGTTTTCTCAAGGGGCCAGTCTCCGAGCCTTCGACCTAGAGGTCTAATCCACAAGGCAGTGGATCAACGTTAGGAGGTGCAGTCAATTGGTATCGATTGACCATGTGCACCACTGGTTTGGAAACAGGCTCTTCTAAATCCTCTAGGTAGATCTTCCGTACCCACCAACCCGGTTAGAGCACCGAACACTAGCTTCTCGTCTTCTCGATTTCGTAGACAACACCGCCTCGAGAATGAAGTGGGTAGGACTCCCCTGACAGTGACCGTATACGCATGGTTATGTGAGAGCATTTCGAAAGTTAAAGCTGACTCGCCCCACTCTCGACCTGGATACCTGTCCCTTAGTTTAATAACGAGTTTGATATTGGAAAAAAGTAAAGCAGTTTTAACATAGACTCATAATCTATATTATTTAGCGTATTTTAAATGTACAGTATTGTCAGTGTTACCTATTCAAATAAGTTCTCATAGGTCGGTGTTCAGGCCCAGATGGTTCGATCAACTTGCTTGATCGCAAATAGTGCTTAACGTATTGACCGGGACTGTTAATAATAATTTTATTTAATTTTGCCGTGATTATAACAGTCGTATGTACTAAATGTGATTTTTCAGTCGTATAATAACAATGGCTACAAATTACCGTGTACATTATTATGTCCGGAATAGGTTTTTTTTATTAATGTATTTTATTTACTAAGAAATGGTTTTTGAGCCTTTAGGCTGCATCTACTTCAGTTTAAATGGTGGTGGTAATTTAGTTAACCGTCACAGTCTCCATCCAGTTCATAGTTAAATATATGTTGCTCAAGTGTTATGGCAACTTGAGCATGTACACACGTACCAGGTTCTACGTTGAAACTAACTGACTTAATGTGTAGATAATTGTTAGGTAATTGAATTAAAGTTCACTTCTTTTTTCCGTCATGATTTTCAAATTTCCGGATCTTCACTGAAAAAAAAGAGTTAGAAATTCCCCTTATCATTTCGTCTTTATAGTATCAGTAAGTCATTTCCCAACTTCCGCTTAAAAAACATTTTCATTCAGGTTACTTTTTTGTTTGTTTACTAAACACCGATTTAAACAAGTCGATTAAATAAATAACATGTAATTCTTTATTGAAGTTTAATTGAATAACACCTAACTAATATAGTTATTACCTGGTTTTGCACTATATTTTCTATTTCTTTTCTATTATGAACTAATTAAAGCAATGATTATTCTGTTGCCTTTAAAATTTTGCTAATTTCTCTTTCTACAGGATGGCAATGTTAAATTATATAAAACTGAGTTGAAACATTTAACCAAAAATCGTGATGAAGCTTTGAAAGTAAATCATTTTTATTTCTATTCGTTTATGTTTAAATTTGCACAAATTGTTTGGTGGTAGAAGGTTGAATGAGGAATTATTTTCATAATATTTTATAGTGAGAATCTAACGTCCATGTAATCATAAAAATGTTTGTTTAATCTATCTTTCAGATTATAGCTATCAATGCCAAAGTTTGACTTGATAGTTTCAAATAAATTGAGCATTGGGTAGAAAGTTAATAATAAATATATTTTTGTTGTATCCCAGTGAGTTGAAAAATTGTACTTCTGACGTTTGGTGACTTAATGTAAGCCACTTCTTTAAAGTAAATAAATAATTTGATTTGGTTATTTATTTACTCTGAAGAAGTGGCTTACATTAGGCCACTAAACGTCAGAAGTATGATTCTTCTACTCATTAGGATAAAGAACAAAATATATTTATTATCTTTTAGAATAATTCATTTCTTTTGCTCAAGGTTAAAACGAACCAATTGACTTAAGTTGTACACAGCTCTTTGATGTATTGTATTGATTGTTGAATATTTACATCTAGTCAAGTGAGTTTTTTTCATCGACATAATCTGTCATCGTGAAAGATTTGTTCATATTTTAGCGGTACAGTGTGATCGTTTTGGTAAACTGAATTGACTTTAATCTTCAAATAGTCATATATTTCTTTATCATTCTAAAGATTCTTCCTGATATATGGATTTTTTGGTGATCGTTCTCTCATATGTAACACTATGTATCCTATTGTTTATATTACAGACCGATTCTAGTTAAAAAAGATACCAGTGAAAACCAAGAAACAATGAACAGTTGCCTCATCCTAACATGAGACTCACGCCCTCACCGGTGTCGAAGTTAGACATACAGACTGTTGAATGCCATTTCAGTGGTCGAAAGGTTAAATACTCACCATGGGACCCGGAGAGCCTTTGTTCTATCCCAAGGGGGTCGTGAATTGAAAATTGTGACAGCTCCTATACTGATACACAACAGTTGTCCTGTGCTTCCCGGCCTTAAATTGTTGTTTTACTAAAACCAGTTCGTTATACAAATTGCAGAACTCAACAATCTCTACAACAACCTTTAATAAGAATTTAATATGTAGTTGAATTATGGAATATTTGGAAACATTCCAATTGATAATAATCTCGTAATTGTAAAGTTCTACATTTCTTATAACTTGATATCTGAAGTATTTTATGGCATTAATCATGTATATTGTTCTATTTCAGCTTCGTTCTGAACGAGAAGAAACACTTCATTCAATTGAAAAACAGGAAAAAAATCTAGAAGAAATGTCTGCAAAGCTTCAACCTGTCGTTGTAAGTAGAGTCAACTATTCGCTAATTGATTATTATTTTTTTATTCAAGTAAAGAAAATTAGATCACTGACTTGTTCCTTCATATTCGAAGGTAGCTTCACTTTTAACTAAATATAAATGAAGTAAGGCATATTTATCACACAATCAGTTGTATAAATATGAAAAAATTGTCAATTAAAATCAATAAGACCTAACTTTTAAAATACTTATTGGCTGTCAAGAATTTTGATTAAAGCTGCTTAAAACTCAACTTGGGTTTACTTTATGTATTTATCATGAGTAATTATTCATAGCATGTCAAAATATTCTGAACAAATCGTAACAATTATTATATTATGAGTTTTCCGACTATATGGGACGTTGTCGTTTTACGTATTACCAACAAGTGTACTTTTCAGCCTCAAAACTATCCCGGAATATGTTTCAGTATTGTTTTCACTTATTGTAACGAAATAATCTTTCTGCGGTTTTCTGAGAATCTTTATTTGGTCATCTAAATAAAACCATTGAAAGGTAACCGTGTGATTTTTAAAAAGAAACACCGATTTCGAGATCCACTTGTAGAAATTATTTCACTTTTCAAACCTAAAATCTTGTAATGAATCTAAATTCCTTTCAATGTTCTGGAGTGCACTTAAATATATATTATTAGCTTTATGATACAATCTACTAAAGACGAGTTCCTATACTGTGTCTTAAGTCTTTCGTATATGCTGATGGTTTCTGAAGCACATAATAATAGCTGGTGACTTGGTTTCGTTGATCAGTATCTACCATACCGTGTTGTTATTTGTACATTAGAATTGCATGGAAATAAAAATAATGATTTTTATTTTAGTTTTCGGTGGCTTATTGTTCTCTGAGCTAGATGGTTTGGTCGTGGAGCTTTCATCGTCCTTCTGAACGACATTATTAGCACCGAATTCAGGTAGAAGTGAAGTGTTCGAATCTCTCTACATATGGCTCACAGCTCGTCCTATAGACATTGATGTTGATTGGTTACTGTTGACCTTTAACCTATCATTGTTTACTTTTTTATTTCGATTATATCTCCCATTGGTTTGATTCTTGGCCCTATATTTGTCCATAATTTTTGTGATCGGTTGATAGATTAGATCAGTTTCAATGTGTTTGATGATTACCGATTGACTTGAGTGCCAAGCTTCTAAAACATTCTGTGGTGTTTTTACAATTACCTCTATCCAAGATCTCAACATTTTTTCAATCAAATGTGTGTCCACAGTTTTCCAGATTCATTTATATAAGCGAGGATATTTCATGGCATTAGACCGCCTTTTGGCGTTCATGCAAGCGAATATGAAGAGAGCGTCCATTTTGTCCGATGTAGTGTTTTTCGCAGTTGAAACAATTTATTTTTTAAATTATTTTCAGTTCTTTTTCTTTTGTCATCTGGTTGGCGTAGGACTGATTGAAGCGATTTTGTTGGTCTGTGTGCTACATCTATTCTAAAAGACCTCAACACTCTCGTAATTTCTGATGTCTTTTATGTATGGTAGGATGATCCGTCTGTTGGTTTCTGTACTTGACTTGTTTCTGCTGATACGTTTGGTTGGTATTTTTTGATAAAATTGATTCGGTAACCGTTCCTTTGAATGATAGTCTCTAGATATCTTTTTTTCATTTTTCCGCGATGCAGGTGTGTAGCAGTGTCTTCTCGTCCTTTTGAATAAAGTTTGTACGTAGTTAATTGTGTGAGTTCTTGGATTGTTGCTACTGTGATTGAGAATTTGAAATGTGTTGACCGGCTTCCGGTATACTTGAGTCTCCAGTTTTCTTGTGTTGGTTCTGCTGATTGATACATCTAAGAACTATAGCTTGTTGATTGGACTTCGTTCCATTGTGAAGTTTAAGTCATCGAAGACGTTGACCAGATTGTAGGTGTTTTCCAGCTCGTCCTTTTAGACGATGACGAATGTGTTGTGTTTATAACTATATAAAGCTTACATATTGATGAAATTCAGTATGAAGATTTATCACAGCTTGCTAGAAGTCTATCACAGTTTATCGCAGTTGACTTCAGTTGGGACTAGAAGTTATTCTTTTTCACAGACGAGTCTTATCGATTACTGAGGTGTCGTTCATAGTCATACGACTTGTCTTGTCATTTCATCGGTTTTTCCTGTAACTACACTTCTCATTTAGCTAATATTATTTACTTTAGAATTTTTAAGGGATTAAGAGGTATTTTGATAATTCTACTTTGTTGACTAATGCTATGTTCGTGGGCACAATTCAACATTGCTACGCAAACTATCCTTTTGATCTGAAACTGAGATAATAACTTGAGTGGTTTCAAATCTTGGGATAAACATGTGTCGATGTGGTGTACTCGGTTTAGGAGTGTTCAGCGATTGGAGGGTAAACCGTTTCTTGTCAATATATAGCTATTGGATTCACGATGACTTTTGACATATATATTTGTACATTCATAACAGAATAGGACTCGCTTTAGATTTTAGTACTGTTAAATAGTTTGAAAAATCGTTCGTTTATAAGAACACTATAATGTTCTTCCAGGAATGTTCCTTTCCTATCCTTTAAATGAGATTGTTTTGCTTAGTTTTGACATCTAGGAAAGTTTATAATCAAGTGTTCTGTTTACATTTTACATACCAATAAATTTCATTTAATTACAGTCGATACATGATTGAAGCTAACCCCCTCCAAAGTTTATTTTAAAATTGAACGGGTAACTTTTAAGCCGTGACCAGTGGAGTTAAACTGTGTCGGGTGTGAGGCAGTTACCCACCGAAGACAATGGAATATGGTCGTGCAGTTTCATGAATTGGTTAAAGTTAGACACTAACACCATTGGATCTAGAGGTTAGGCGTTTGGGCGCGAAACAGAAGGTCCTTGGTCTGAATCCCGTATGCGGAATTGTGGACGCACACTGCTGGGGAGTCCCGTACCAGGACGAAACGGTCATCCGTCGCTTCCGGGTTTCCATTGGTGGCCTAAGATTGATCGGCTCATGATCTCAACTTAAAATTCTAAGTTATGTATCTGTCAGCTAATGTACAAGATTTACTTATGAGGGTTATCCTGTGTAATTTAATCACTAGCTTTGAACTTTGTATCTTAAAAGATTGAGTATTATAACACTGTTGATAAATTAATAGAAAATTTATTTTTGGTCTAAAGGAACAACTCAACCGTTATAAAGAACGCTACGCAGAGCTAACAAAACTACAAGCTGAAATCAGTAAGTTTTTTTTAAACATTTCCATTTTGTAGTTCTTGGGTATGAATACCGAGGCTAGAGTTAGTAGTTTCAAATAAATTGAGCAATTGGTTAGAAGGTTAATAATAATAATAATAATAGTACTTATTATCATTATCATTACTATTATTACTGTCATAATTTTATGATATCAATCAGTAGAAATTTGTATTCCTGACTTTTCGTTTCTTTTATGTCCATAAATGTCATTTTCAATGAATATGTAAAATCTAAATTTTATGTATCTTGTTTCCTAGAATCGACCAGAAAATAATTGATATTTATGTTCATATTATTTATATTATTAAATGTGTTTCATTTATTAATCATTAAAATTCGAAAGAATGAGATCTGGTTTACGATCTTCCTGTATACTAACTCTAACTGTCTGTTCATTTTAGTGGTTTTAAACTAGAACTTGTTAACAAATTGGATCTTTTTAAAAAACTTTTGCAGAGTCTTGTGAAGCTGAACGTGCTCATTTAACAGACACAATAAAGAATTTAATGTTAAACATACAGAACGAGTATCAAGGTAACAATTCTCGTAATCTACTCAATTTTTTCTGCTGATTTCTTGTTGTTTGATAGCCTCTCGTAACCACTGTTATTAATTATTGAGCAGATGTTAATTTTCAGTTTTATTATACCATTCAGAAGATTCAGGCAATACAATATTGTCTGTTTGTAATCTATATGTACGTCTGAACAGGCTATAACCAGTCTGGTTGTATGCTTGAAATCCCGATCTCAACTACTGAACATTCTCGTAGTATATCTAGCCTCCTTCAACTTTTGTGATTTAAGAGTTAGCGTACAAATATGTGTTTGTTAAGCACCATTTAAACTATTTACAGAGAACCCAATCTTTTCATTATCTTTTCGAAATTGTACTACCGTCAGATCGCTAAGTTAATATGTAGTGGTCTATCCTTCCCATCTTAGTCAATAATGGTGTGGTTACTTTTTATACAAATAATGGTTCCCAGATAGTTTTGATTATTACTTGAGTTGATTTTGAGTTATTATGAAAAATAATCAACAATTAATAGATTAGGAGATCTGTGGAGATTGTTGAATTTTATAGTTCACACCATGAACTAACTTTAATGCACACTGGCGACTAATTTCAAGAGGTAATCCTCTGAGTTTTCGTTAGGAGCCGTGATCAGTGGCATTCAACCATGTTGAGTGTGAGACAGCTATACATCAATACTGATAAAGATGGCTGCACAATATTACGGATTGATTAAAGTTAGACGTGTAAACCATTGGATGCCGGCTCAGTGGTTCAATGGTCAAACACTCCTCATTAGACCTGGAGATAGTGAGTTCGATCTCGTGTAGGATCGTAGATGCTAGCTACTGAGGATTCTCATTTTAAAATAAAACAGTTGTCCAGTGCTACTGCGTTTTTTTATGGCTGTCTAACTAAGTTTAGTCTTCTGTCAGCTGTAACCAATAATAATCATTTACTTTACTGGAAATTATGCAATTAAATTCTGATCTGTAAACATTCTCCAATATTTGTCTGATAATGTTCTGTAGCCTAGTTCTTTTTATTAAAGGAAGTGATGAAGAATTAAAACGTTTGATTGAAGATGCTGAGACAGAATACGAAAAGAAAATTTTTCTGTTGAATCAAGTTAGTGTATTTTATCTTCATACTGTCAATGAAATGTATGATGACTCTCATTTATCGGTAACGGAATTTGTGGAGAATGTAGTATTTTAACAGTTGAACTCACGAGCCGATCTAAACTAGACTACCATTAAAAACCTGAAACAACTGGACGGCCGCTTTGTCCAAGTGTGGGACTCCTCAGTAGTGCCCATCAATGTTTTCAACGGTGATCTAGCTTTGATCGACTCGTGAATTCAACTGTTAAAAGACTTATCTAGCTTATTGTATTACCATTGAACTCATTATAAACAGACAGATAGATGCACAGTTACTAATTTTCATTACAAAGACTCAATAACGCTAAACGCATCCACAATGAATATCACTTATTTGTTTAACCTTAAAACTTCCTGCAGTGAAATTGTTCATATTTCTTTATTTATTCTTTTGTCGTGACCCATCAATAATATTGCTAATAATTTTACTGAATTTTCTCTAGCCATATCAATTAGAAAGAAATTAGTTTATAAAGTTTGGAAAATCAAAACTAAGTCAAATATATTTCGCTTAACATTCAAAGTGGTTTGTTGAATATGGTGTTTGCAAATGGTTTCAATTGGGGAATTCTGTTTACTGTCATGACATTCCAGGCAATTTTTTTGGTTCTTCATCAAGAATATGTAATTTCATGATTATCATACGTCCTCTGTGTATACTCATTCATTTGTTTTTCATTAGCTCCACTTCTCATATCTCATTTGTTATTTAACTTTACAGTCTGAAAATATATTACAAAGAAAACGTAAAGAGTTAAATAATTTGGAAACGAATCAAACAAAAACTATTGTTGAGAAAGCACAAATTGAAATGGAGGTTAAGGTAAAATGGTTTGTGTATTTTCTCTTCAGAATATACTGTATACTGGATCGTTTTGTGTGAATTCCTTATTCTATTCATATTTTTTGTTGTTGCTGGAAAATGCTGACTAATTCTTTCGGTTTCTCATGATTCTGTACTTTTGTTGAATAAAAAGTATTGTAACATTTAAGGAATAAATCCAACATTTAGCTCGGTACAAGCTTTTTCAAGATGTAACCAACTTTCAAAATTACCGAATATAAATAACCTATGACTTCCAGTCACTGAGCGGGAATCCAGCGGTGTTAGTTTCTACCTTCAACCAAGTTGCGATGTTGCACAACTGTCTCCCATTGTTTTCGGTGGAAGACCGCCTCATATTCAACACGACTAAACTCCCCTGGTTATGGCTTCTCACTTAAACTCAGAGAATTACCTCTCAAAGCTAGTCAATAGTGAACACGTGATAATTTGCAGTTTGAGGTTGTGAAAGTCTTTAAATTTCACTGAAATCGTGAACTGATCAGTGTTAGACCACTATTTGAAATCTGGAAGCACTGAATAAAGTTAGACATTAACACTTTTGGGTGCTGGATCAATGGTCTAGAGAGGTTAGGCGTTTGAACCGCGTGTGCGAGATCGTGGATGCGCACTGCTGACTAGTCGCATACTAGGACTTATTGTGACTTTATGTCCGGCTTTTTATCACGTGATTTATCCACCAATCAAAATAAGACTTATACAATCTTAGCACTGTACCAAACGAATGACGTTCAATCGGTATGAGCAGCCTAACGTCTTTATTGATCCTATGTCCGTCCACCCCGTCCACTTGAGTCCAGAACACCACTACCAGCTTCCACTATGCGAATCGAATTGAATCATTTATTTCAGACATACTGGGTTTATATGTCAAACAAACAGACCGCAACGCACCATAAAATAGGAAATAACATTTGTACACAATAAAGCCAAAAAGTGGCTGCGAACGTGGGAGTCAGTAGTCAATAAACTGAACATAGCTTAAGAACAGTAAATAGTACAATAATAATATATAGGTCAAAATAAAGCTTATAACAAAGGGAATATAGATATACATAATCTAGTTACTGAATATTTATACTGTGACGGCCCGTGATCTGACTCCAATTCAGAGTGTATGATATGTTTGATATCGCCTATTCTCGTATATCATCGTCGACTTAAATCACGTTAGTCGATAACGGAATTTAGATAAGTCAATTAACGAGAATAGCCTTTGAATACATATATTTTGTATGTAAAGTGAATGCAATAGAACAGAGCAAAGTGACGCGCGTGGAAGATGGCTGGGAAGCCAACTCCATTTTAGTCAAGAGTTACTCCATATTTATAGGCAGACAGAATAAAGCTACAGACATGTGATTAATGCGATAAGAAGGGCACACACATATACGCTCATATAAAAACAGTCAGGACTGATAAGCGAATAATTAACAAGGTCAAAATATGACTCAAGTAGAATGAATAAAATGGGATATCCGCAAGCTAGAATAAGGTATATGGGCTTGGCATAATAACTGACACTACAATACCATGAGAATATATAAATAATATTAGTCCATTAATAAGTCTCAGACGTTACTCGTAATGTAATCTTCACTCGGATATAACAGGACGAAACGGCCGTTCGGTTCTTTAAGATTTTCGTTGTTGGAGCAGCATTGATTAGTAGATGATTTCGATGAAATTTAGCAATCTCGACAACCCAAAATCGAAGAAAATACAAAAGTACATGGTTCTCCAGTTAACTGTATACCATACAGGTTATTCAATCATGTGAACAATGTTGGAAGTAAGAATTTGTTGTATGTACAGAACATCCAATGTGTAAAGAAAAGTGTGTCAAGATAACAGTTGTATGTATATACAAGTGAATCTGAGGTTAAAGAAAAATGTCACTGACTATATACCACCTCTGATCGGCGAATTTTTGATGAAATCGATTGACTTTATAGATAATGTAGGTCAAGCATGTTTTAGATTGCGTAAAATGAAGGTAAATAGATAAAAATATATGTTTGATCAAATATTTAATCATATATTTAGATAAACCAACTGTTCAAAACAGCTGAAGGTAGTTGTTCAGATAATAAGTGAGATTATATGAAGTAAAATGTAATAGGGAGTTCGGGTTTACTTATTAATTGTAATTTCATGCAATTGGTTCCCTTTATGAATTTGAATAGAGCAAGAACAAACATTGATGCAGAATAGTATGAATTCATATTATTTCGAGGTTTCTCGTCAGCTGCTTACAAACCAAAATTGTGATAGAATTTTTTTTACATGGAGATAGTGTGAAAACAATTGACATAAATGAGTGTAAATAACTGGATTACAATAATAACTATATATATATATATATATATATGCATGCTAGAAACAGGTCAGAGGTCAAAAGAGGGGGGTTAATCCAGGGTGGGTGGTGTAATAATTTAGTGAAGTTCATAAATTGTGATAATTGTAGAGATTAATGGAATTAAGTAATGATAAGGTAGATTACGTAATAATAATTAAATAGAATTTGGAAAGTTAAGATAATTTAAGAGGATCAGGTGGTGGAAATGTGTGAATAAAATTTATTTTAAAAATTAGGTAATAGGGGGGAGTATAAAATATCTCAGAATAAGTGAATGAAAATAACCAAAACACAAAACAAACAGAAACAAAAAGATTACCAGGGTAGTGATAAGTTTATTAAAGTCTCTTTTTGAATGCATAAATCCGGTTTCAGTTTCTTAATCGCAATCGCTTCAGCAAAGCGGAGAGTGGTAATACTTTTTTGTCTATTGATAATTTTGAACGCGTGCAGAATATCGACGGTATGCCCGGTGTCAAGTAGATGCCGAGCTATTGCACTGTTAAAAGCTTTGGTCCCTCGCAGCGTCAAGTTCTTTGGAATATGCTCAGAAATGCGAACCTGTACTCTTCTCTCAGTTCTTCCAATGTATGTGCTACGGCACGTACATGTGAATTGGTAAATGCAGTTGGAGCAACTGAGGGGAGAGGACTTGTCGATCTTCGTTTGTTTCAGTGAGCAGTATGTTTTCCATAACGTAGTCAGTTTGGCTGCCGGGTAGGTCACTTTTAAAGCGGAATTAATTCTGTGATTGATAATTCCGGCGACTTCATCTCCTTTGAAGCGCAAGGATAGGAAGCAGGGTTTTTTTTCAACTGTATCATGCTTAATCGGAGGGTTTGTATTAGCATATTTGTGGATGAATTTATCCGGATATGCATTTTCACGTAGGCATTTGGTGATTATAGTAATTTCTTCTTCGATGCATTCTTTTGAGCAGATTTTTCGTGCGCGGTCAAAAAGGTTTCGCACAATACCCTTTTTATAACTCATTGGACAGAGGCTGTTAAAATTGAGATAAACTCCGCTCCAAGTATTTTTGCGGTGAATGTGACTTTGTAGTGTGCCATCTGATGTTCGCCTAATTCCAATATCTAGGAAATGGAATTTATCATCGACTTCATGTTCCATGGTAAATTCTATATCTTTATGTACTTTACTGAACAGACTAAGTAGGTACATGGAGTGTTGGTGATTTTTGCAGACAAGGAACGTGTCATCCAAATATCTGCAGTAGAGTGTGGTACTATCAATTGCGTGCTTCAGTTTCTTTTGTTCCAGATGTCCCATAAATATGTCGGCAAGTTATTTACACTCATTTATGTCAATTGTTTTCACACTATCTCCATGTAACACAAATTCTATCACAATTTTGGTTTGTAAGCAGCTGACGAGAAACCTCGAAATAATATGAATTCATACTATTCTGCATCAATGTTTGTTCTTGCTCTATTAAGTGTAAGTCACTCCATGGTAACTAATTGTAATCCATCTCTCCTAGTAATACTTTTTGGATGAATAGTGTGCATAATCTATGCAGTTACAGTATGAATACAATCAAGATATATCTTATTTTTGAGGAAAAAACATCTTACTGTTTATGAAAAGTGTATTTAAAAACTATCACAGGATCGTCACTACCTTCTAGTCCAAGTCATGTTGGAATACGTCTCAACTAGCTGAGTTGCAAAAACTGTATAACTCAATCTGGAGATTTGCAAATTCAGTGAAACTGCCTTATTCTAGTATTATCTATTTAATGAGTTTTAAACTAAGCTTTGATCGTATTTTTATCATATATCGGTAGATTAAGATTACAAATTAGTGTTATCAGTTGTTAGAGTGCATAAATTCTATTTTAGTGTTGATTATATTTCAAAAGATAAGAATAATTTTTAAGTTTAACCTAATTATCATTTTAAATTTTTATATTCATCCATCATAAAGTATACTATTTTAAATTTCTTAGCGTTTGGATGAAGCAATAATCAATCGTGATATGCTCTTAGCCTCGATCGTTACAAATTACATTCCCGGTATGTTTTAATAATTTCTTTAAGTTATACGAAAATTTAATCGTGTCTAAGAAATTACAATACAAATAAATTATTTTATAAAAAATTATTCAACGTCATTTTTGTTTTCAAGAGAAAATTTTTTTTTAAAATTACATTATAAAACAATTAATTCAATGAAATTCTATTCAACAAGTTCATCTGTACCAGAATAAAATAACTGTTCATTTACTTCAATGTTTTCAATAGTATTAAAATTGAAGTCAATTCATAAAGATTAAAATTAAAACACGAATTTCAGCGAAGGGATCTCTTTTCAACGAATTTATTATCAAGCTATACAATCGTATATATATGAAATTTTTTTGATTTTGTAAAAGTACTAATTCCGTGAGGAATACTTGAACACCTAATCGACTGTAACCATTCCACTGATCCAAGAAATGAATTTAAGATTGTTTATATGATTCGTTCAAATCTACCCAGATTTCTTCGCATCCAACTTTTAAAAATAGCCGAAGCTCTTACCATCCAGGAGCTTAAACCAGAACTATGTGTACAAAAGAAGTACGTCTTATCGTTATCGTTACCTTGGCCTTAAGTATTTTGATTATCCAATTATTATTATTATTATTATTATTATTACTGCATTCTCCCCTTTACTTATATCTTATATTCTGATTGTTTTATTAGTGAATACTCATCATATCACCATATTTATTTATTTATATTTTACACCTCTATCACCTTTAATTATTATTATAACAAAAACATTTTAATCATCTTATTATAATCACTAAATCTATGGTTATTATTATTATTCATATTACGTAATCTAGTATTATAACTTTTTTATTAACTGTGTTCACATTTCCTCACGGAATTAGTACTTTTACAAAATCAAAAATTTTTCATATATATACGATTGTACAGCTTGATAATAAATTTGTTGAAAAGAGATCCCTTCGCTGAAATTCGTGTTTTAATTTTAATGTTTAAATGGGAATTATCTGTCAATTCATAAAGAAGAAAATGATCTACAAATTGTTTATTTGTAATTAATACCAATTATATTGAGTAGTGATGAGATTGAATCAAATATCAATGAGAGAGTAAAAAGAAGAGTAAATCTAGCATTAACTGAATAGTTGAAATAAAAAGCATATCATTTAAATGATAATGAACAATTAAAAAATTTTTGTTTGTTTAAAATGATTGTTTACCTTCGAACATTGTTCCTTTTATCGAATTAATTGTTACATAGTTTGTTATAAGTTCTCTGAGTTAGTTTATATATAATTGAAGTTTATTTATTTACTTAAACATATAAACATTGGTACAAAGAGGCACCAAATGTATATACGCCACACAAATCATTCGATTTCTGTAAGTGCTAAGATATTGTCAGGGCGCCCGAATCGAAGCAGGTGGTTTCCTTGGGTGGCAAGTCCCCGAGCCCTTGACCTAGAGGTCTTATCCAAAATTCATAAATGAAAGAGTTTTATTATATTTTTGATATACTATACACATAAATTGTCTCTGAAATCTATTAATAGCAACAGTGTAGAAATGTCTATTGTATTACTTATTGTATTGATTCTTTTAACACTGAGTATTACCTAATATATGTATGTATTTCAGCATATTGGTCATGATGTTTTAATATGAATTAATTTAAATACTTCTTTTTACATACTGAAGATGATTGTTTCATTATATATGTTGTTATTTATACCAGGTGATAAGTATGCAGACGTGAAGCAATTCACCGATGAGGATGTGGAGTATATTGTGCAGTTTGTTGCTGGATTACTACATGAATATGAAAATCAATTAACAGAAGTGAAGGTAAGATTGTGCACTTAAGAATGTGTGGAGCACTTGATTGTTGTATATCTTAAGTATTTTTTTCTATGCTTTCTGTATTGCGTAGTTATGATGTACCACTTATGATTTTCTTATGAGGTTCAACTAGATATAAGATGTTCGTTTGTCATTGGGCTGAAATGAGCTTTCAGTTTACAAAAGTGCCTGACACTTTGATAGAAATTACTCCCTATACATACGGGCACTGATTGCTAATTAGTATGTTATTTAAGTAACCTGTATGTTGTTATATTATAAATTTTATTCTGGCATATAGGATCAATGGTTTTATTGTCTAGTCTCAATTCGTAAAAAACTCATGTTTTATTGAGTTTTAAGGTTAATCCATAAATTATAAGTGAATCTTCTGATAGTTATTTAATTTCTTTGACTAACTAGTCAATTACAGCTGAACTAACAGGTTATTCATTTTCTATGGACAATATTATGAAATACAGTGGAATTTTTATTTTTAATGTGGGGTATTTGTAGAGGCTGTAGAATTTTCAGTTTTAAATCACGAACTGATTATGTACTCACTAGTGACTAGCTTCAAGATGGATTTTCTGAAGATCTAGTAAGAAGCCGTGGTCGTTAGGGTTAAAACTTTGTGGGAAATGTTTCCACTGTCAAAATGGATAAGGGTTGATCAACATCATGCATTGATTGAACTTAGACATCAGCACCGTTGAATGCTGGGCTATCGGTCTAGAGGTTAGACGTTCTCACACGAGACTGCAGCTTCTGGATTCTATATCTGGAAATTATATGGTTGTCTAGTGCTTCGGTGTTTTACAATGTTGATCTAGCTAAAATCAGTTTGAGATTTAAAATTGAACAACATTTTCCAGAATCCATTCATCCTTTGACATTATTTTAAAAAAAATCGATCCACGATGTTTTCTGTTATTGTTATTTATCGATAAGGGTGATAAAATTTATTTTAACCACATCAAATTATGGTCCATAATTATTCTCTCAAATAAAAACACTCGTTGAGGCTATAATTTATGAACAAACCAACCAGATTTAATATTTTGGCACGAAAACCCTTCATTCATTTGGCTAAATATCATTTTAGCATTATAGCTGATGTCAGTTCGTAATCGAAACATTAAAGCTTGTTACTAACATTAGTGTTCAACTATAAATTCTAATCCTAATTCCTCATACTAACCTGTGATCCTCATTTAACCATAGCAAGTAAGTGAACATTCCATGGTCATATTAGCGCTGATCATAGGTCGTCCGTAAATTATAATCTCACCAAATGCACAATTGGAGATCATAAAATGTATATTTTATAACATTTAGAATGTATCCATTTTTTATTATTCCTTTGAAAAATTTCCTCATTTTATAGAAATTCATTTATTTTTGTTTCAATTCTTCAAAAGCCTCACTGAACGATCATAGAAATTAAATTTTTCAGTTTTAATTTTTTCTGTTGTTCAGTACTACATTTTCACATTTTGTAGATTATTTTCCTTTGATTCTATTGTTCCATTGAAAAATAAAAATTTAATTTACTTAGAAAATGTTTTCCGAATTACTTTGATATATTTTTTTCCTAATAAAGCTGATGAAGAAAATAATTGAGGAAGAGTTTAGATGTTGTAGTTTTGTCATTTTAAACGATTGTCTTTTTGTCGTTCTAATTTAAATGAATTGTGATTATTTTAATCCGTATGGTGGTGTTCGTAAATGGTTGGCTTCATCATTAAAATTCAGGGGCAACTTGGTAGGTACTTCTTCCTAGTATCGATCTCTTCTGCAGTTAGTATTCACAACCCACTAGGGATCCAAACCCAGGACTTTTTGGATACACAGTGAGTGCCATACCATTAGACCACTTACGTATACTAAGTACATATTAGGATGAAACATTTGAGATCAATTCGTGATAAATACATCACCTGCAGAATAATGAATTATCTTCTTCATACACATTTCTTCTGAATAAAAGTATTTCTTTTTCGTTGAATAAGTTCTGAAATTATTACTTCTTTCAATGTTTTGTCCTTTCATTTAGCTGCTATCGGCTAATGAAGAGAGGAAAGCTCAAACTGATGTTGATGTTGTTCGAGATGAATTGGCTGCTCTAAAACAAAAAATACAAACTATAAAACGTAATTATGTATGCTAACGTTATTTTATATTTTTTCTTCTATTTGGTGACGCAATTCATTACATTTTATTCTTTAGTTGTCTTTATATACAAACTATTCTATGGATAAAATAATGATATTATTTCAGAAAAAGATTACCATGATGATTCACATGTCTTTTGAAAGATATCACTGCAATTGTTAGCAAGTATGAAGTAGAAAAATAGAGTACAAAAGGTTATGTTTTAATTACAATAGCTCTGGAACAGAAAAAATAATGACAGTGAATCATACATTAAACAAAAGTTTATAGTTTATAGAATAAACTAGGGACAATTGGTTCATGATCTCAATCAAAAACAAAACTAAATGTTAGCATTTTACAAATTTTTTATTGAAATAACGTCTCAAAAAGTAGATTCCGTTACTTGTCATGGCATCGTTATTTCTCTGTTCACATCATATAGGTTCTTTACAAAAGATTAACAAGTTTATATAAAGTCAGTCATATAAGGAATTGTATAAATATTTTTTTCTTAAATTAGAATCAACGATCATGTGAAATGATTAGTGTTGAAAAACGCTTAGAAAATGAACATTCATTAAATGAACGTATTGAAAAAGTCAGAGATCAATTTCATAAATCTGTAAGTGTTAATAATCATTAATGAAGTTTATTTACTTATTTATTTTATTTTAATTTAAAGGGTGGCCTGCTTGAGCATCTGGGCTACCTGTTCCTGCCATCTAGATATTTCAACAAGTTATCTATTTTTGTTTGTTTTAATATATCATTATGTTTATTAATCGCATAACCTATTCTGCTGCGTTTCTGAAAAGTATACAACCTTTCGTTGTCAAAGTTACAAAAAACTCAATAAGAGACAATGTGGTTGCCGGCACTATACAACGAAAAGAATGCATATTATTCAGATGTTCATTTACTGAACTGCTAACATCTAACTGGCGATCACTCAATATTTGTCGCCAGGACCGACCAAGAAGAAAGAAACGGAAACTTGTTAAAATACACTGAGAATTCTATATTGTACCAAAAATATAATATTGAATAAAGCTAATAATAATAATAATAATAATAATAATAATAATAATAATAAACAATTACTAAAATAAATTTGTCAATTGAATTAATATTCATCTAACTACAATAAATTTTAAAACAAATAAATAATTCATTTTTGTACTGGTTGTCTGAATCTTATTATTGGTGTTTAAGACTGAAATTGATTTGTTTCTTATTGGCACATATGCATCCTGTACGGATTGCCTCGATATTGCCTTTAGTCCTAAGCATTATAAACAGAGAGTAAAATAAACTTTACCCAAACTTTACACAAGCTAGTGGCTATCTGGACTCTGTAACTAAGTGGATAAATCGATGATATTTGAAGCGAATGTTACTGGATTCAACTCGCGGTGTAAATATCAACTCTGCAGGTACATCCAGTGGACGAGTCCTAAATAGGACAAAACGCAAGTTCTCGATTCCACTGTTAGCAACACTTCATATTTACTCATAAATAAAAAAGTTCTTTTTACTTTAATCAAAACGGGTTATTTAATTTTCATTGAGAGAAATCAACTGCATGATTTCTCAATAAATATTTTATGGGACATTTTCAAACATGTTTTTTTTTGTGATCAGTTGATGAATAAATTTTGATTCCAGTAAAGAAATCCTAGAACGAATCATGTTTACTATGAAAGTATTTTAATGCTTATTTAAAACTGTTACTTAATATATTAGTAGAATGTCTTATTATTATTTATTATAAAATAATACAGTTTATATGTAAGTATTTGAGTTAGATATGTTTCAACTCAGTTGATGACTGAAAAACGTATATTTGGAGTTATATTTAACCCAAAGTGCGTATTCTTTAAAAGGTAACTTTCATGCTCACTGTATTGTGTGGTTACGATGTTTTGGTGCATTTTAAAAATTTATCTTAGGATGAGGTTACCTACGATATTTTCAGTGTCCGATAGATGCTACGTACTCAGTACTTCCAGTGATTTTTTTGTTCGTTTAGTCGGTGGGTGCTACATATTGAAGTGTACTTTTCACTAAACGTTACATTTAGACTGTAACGTTTACTGTTTTTATCCTCCGGCATATCGTATACATTAAATTGATATGTTCACAAAAGATAATTGTGCATAACTCCGGTCACTTGAAATGAAATCTGATATGCTGTACACTCACTAACTGGATGGAAATATGCTGAAAGTGCTGTAAATGACATTTTTATTGAACATTGAGGGCGTTGCTGCTAACGCAAATCCTCACAAATTGCATTAAATTTTGTGAGGCCTTCATAGAAATAATTATCAGTGTTAACTCTGAATTCTCTATTTTAGGAAATCACCATTCAAGATTTAAATACGGATCATGAATTGAAAAACTTACATCAATCCATAACAGAATCGTTGGGAAAGAAAAAGGAACTGGAACATACGATCAGTTTACTAGAGTAATTATGGTCGCTGTTATTCATATGATACCATACTACTTACCAATTTATACAGTAAAAATAAATTGATTTAGTTAATCCTTATTCTCGATTTTCCGTTAATTTTAGCTGATCTTAAAGATTAATACAATTCAACCAGTCCTAAATGGAATAGATACTTATGACACTGGTCACTACTTAATGATCAGTCACTTGTAAATATTTCAGTTCATTAGAAAGTTTGATGGGGTCCAAGTAGCTCAATGACAACGACTCAAACTGTGATACGGCTGGGTAAAACGGGGTCGGATACGCCAAGGAGCACAGGTTCTTTCAAGATTACTTCCACAGCTTGCTGACTAGTGCCAAGTAGGATAAAACCTAGGTCCATGGTTTCTTTTCGACTACCTCCAACCATCTAACAATATTTTTCTAAAACTTTTATCAAGAAATTATTAGTTAGTTAGCAATTAGTTATCAGTATCAGTATGGATAATTGTAGGGATAGACAGGGAAGTGGAACCAATCGGAACTCTAGGTCGTCCATTACGTCCGTACGTGTTTACGTGTCATTAAATCGATCGATAAATACGCTGCTCTCTAGTTTTTCAATCAAGGACAGAACAATTAGCACAGGGTATAAATCGACCAACAATTTAAAATCACAATAGTTTACTGTGCTATTATTTATTTGGATGTAATGCTCACAAATGACAGTTCACTTTACCTTATTTTTCTTGACCATTGGCAATAAATGTTTGTATTTATAGTGAATTTCACCCTAATATTTATATTCCTATAATGGGATTGTGAACTCTGTCATTTTGTCAGCAGAGACAGATCCTTTATATATCACCAGTTGATGCGGTTGAAGAGTCCTTTCCTTGAATACTGTGCTAAACGTGATTTAGACATTAACTAATTTTTAACACATTATCTTTCATATCATATTGTAGTTCGCATTTCATTTCTTATTATTATTCTTTCTAAACAAACTGTTGAGAAATATTCGAACCATTATTAGCAATATGTCTAAAAGTAATCATTTCACGATTTGTAGCTCTATGAATCCCCGGCATGTAGCTCTTTTGAATAACTCTCTATTGGATTCATTGTTATATCATAATTTGCATATTGAATTTGATAATTCATAATGAAATACAAATAATGTGTTTGTCTTCCCAATTTTATTACTTTTTTAGTGAAAAGATTGCGACATTTCAAAAAAGTGCCAGTAAGTATCGTGAGTTAGAACTCATGCAGAAAGAACGAGCGAATAAACTTGAAGGGATTCGCAAAATGTAAGCTGTAGAGCTAAAAGCGTTTATGAATATTTAGATTGACTAATATTTTGGTGTCAATAGTCCTGTGGTTTATAATACTTACTGTCCCCTTTGTTTCAAATTATTGCTTTTGTTTCTTTAAGACGAAGTCGTCATGCTGAAGCATTGGAACAAGTTTTCGCTGGCTCTGTGATTCCTTTTGTAGCTACAGAAAAATCACTTGAAGAACAAGCGAATCCTAATAATATTCGATCGTTTATTAATGACCAAACACGTTTAAAGGTTGTATTCTCTAAACGACTTGATGAATTGGAACAGTCAACTAGAGAGACAAGAAAACAGTTGGCTAAAATTGAGCAAGAGCGCTCATCGCTTGAAGCTACTTCTAAATTTACCAGGTAAATGTTTTGTTCTATCATGTAAACGTTTTAGAGAATTCTTCCGAATTACGATTGTATTTTTTTGTTACTGAATACAAACACAATGTCCATGATAGATAATTACAATTATTATAAAAATTGATTAAAACTTCAGAGGCACATGGGAATGCTTTGAAATAACAACATATTGCAAATGAGATATTTTTCCGAGTTGGACGCCACAAATTCTTGATAATAACTAGAGGCATGGATTATTAAGTAAGTATTATGGTTAGAACAGAGAGGAGAGTAAGCAAAGGAATGTTGAGTTAGATTATTAAAACAACTAATAATTATGTTTAGTGAAAATTTCATAAGTTTTGAATGTTTTGTAGTTACAACTTGAATGAATATGTAGACTTTTTATTATAAGTTCAATTGGTTTAAACTTTTTTTAAAAATATACTTTACAGAAATCATCTACAAGAAAAACGAGATCAACTAAAAATATTAGAAGGAAAGCTTTTATCTGTACCTGGAGCAGATGATCTGGAACAAACTCTTATTAATCTTCAAGATAGACGTGGCTCTTTAGAGGAGTGAGTTTTTTTCAAAGAAATATTTTCAAACTTTTAAGTATTGACTCAGTGATCAATTTTGTTTTTTTCGTTGACAATTCATATCAATTATTTCTGAAATTACAAGGACAATAAACAGATACTATAATTACTCGTACTTTATTTTTATTCGATTTTCCTAAGTCTTATTCGAAAAAGTTACCTTTATTGCTTAGTATTATTCAAACAATGATACACTAGATTAGTTCCCAAAATCAGAACACTACTTCAACAAGAAAGTATTAAATGCTATCATAAAACAGCTAACCAGGGTGCAGTTACCATAGAGAGTTTAAACGTCATGCTCGGAATTACCGAGCAGCTATAGGGTGTTATCGAGCTGTTTTCGGTAGCTTCGCCAATGTGAAGAAAATTTGTCCGAGGATGGGGTCGTACAGCTGACTCTACAGAGGTGTGACGGCAATAGGGTGCTTCCGTCAGATAACCAACATAACATAGATGCTGCCTTTCGACAAAGGAAGGGCCCCTTATACCACAAATTTCCGCCTCTGATGGTAAGATCTCAACAAGTACGAAGTTAACACAAAAATTACTAACAAAAAGGTCGTGTGTGATTAATTGTGTTCACATTTCCTCACGGAATTAGTACTTTTACAAAAAACAAAAAATTTCATATATATACGATTGTACAGCTTGATAATAAATTAGTGGGAAAGAAATCCCTTCGCTGAACTTCGCGTTTTAATTTTAAACATCAAAGTGTTGAAAAGACATTGTTAACTAAGCCTACCTAACAATAATTTGCCTCTATGCTGCATTTAGTAAATAACTAGTAGGCATCAATATCCATCCTCATGATAAATTATATTTAGGAGTTGTTTAGTGTCTAGACGTGATGACCTATTTAAGAGTTTAACAGTAATCGTAGATAAGCTTATTAAACAATGTTATTCTGATAAACGCGTTTAGAACAGATTTGAAAATCTCAAGGATTGACCGAAAATAAAACGGAGTTGTCAAACCCGTTGTGATTAAGTCTGAATGAAAAGCATATATGCTGTAAATTAGCTTCACATTGGCGACATAACGCTACCGGAAGCAGTTCCATAACACCATATACTCACTCAAATACTTCGTTCTTGACTTTTAATCCGTTTCATTGTATAGTTCGAAAATCCGTGTTTGTTGTAAAATTGTACATGTGAAGTTTCTAGACTGTTGTTTGATTTTGTTTTCGCCTTTATTGGATACATAATGAGACATTAAAAGTGCTTCTGTGTGGAACATGACTTAATCTGACTGGCTATCTGCTAACACGTCATTCTTCAAATCACACGAAAATTCTCATTTAAATCTATTAGACTTTGTTTTGAATAATTTTAATTGTTTATTCAGCTTTTCTCTGTTAGATGCACTTCAATTTTAATAATAATCTTTTTAAATACTAACGTTATTTTATAACCGTGTGTAACATTGATTTTCTGTAATTGTGATAATTTGTCTTTATGTTAATCTCAGAGAATATGCAAACGAACAAGGAAGTGTATTTTTATGGTGTAAATTTCGTGACCGATTGTCTCGTGTAGATTCTGATTGTCCAGTATGTCATCGATGCTTTGACAGTGATGCAGAACGTGATGAATTATTAAATGAAGTGAGCGGTATAAAAGTGTATATTAAACATTATTTTGCCTTTCATTTTAATTGCTCATGTAAATACGATAATGAAGATAATGTTTAGTCAGATCACTCACTTTTATGGTCTCACAGAAAATTTTCGAATATATATATATTTTAATTTGAGTGGTCGATTATTATCACTAGCACATACACATAACGTGTGATTGATGACTGAGTATACTAATCTTGAGTTGCTAAGGAATTTATGCAATAAATTTGATCATATTTACTCTTAACTGTCAGTTGCATCTTTGAAGAAAAGCTTTTAGACTTTCAGGTCTCGGAACGAGTTTTTAACTACTGAGTCAGCATATTGTACCTTACATTTATAACTTCAATAAATTCTCAAATATATAACATAATTATCGTGCGATTGCATTCGTGTGCAACTGCCTACCACCTTATATAATTGAGCTTCATTGGTCACCACATATTAGCTAGTAACAATCCATATGTAGTTTGATTTATTCAGACACTGTTGCAATAGACAAACAATTCTTTAAAATCGTATTCTTTTTACATTTATGTACCGCTTCTTTCCCAATAAACTTTTCACTGGAACTTTTCTTCTATAAGGTTTTGTTTGAAATAACTAAAAGAATTAACTTTTGTGATCCACAAATATTTCCTCATTATGGGATGACTAAGTGCAATCACATTGATATTATGTTATGATTTTTGAGTTGTTTCTTCCGACTTGATTGATAATTAATCACAGTTTTAATTGTAAGCAATATTTATTGTTGATATATGTCGTTAATATCAATGTTAATTTGTATATTTTGTTTATAGCATGTTTATACATACTTAACGGTTATATTTTCTACTTTACACAGATTGATAACCGAATAAAAACGTTACCTTCCGAATTTGAACGTAAAAAACAAGAATTGAAAGAAATAGTTTCACGTCTTGAATCATTGGTTGAGTTACGTCCCATAAGTTTAGAGGTTGGTGAAATCATTATGTGGATATTTAATCGTGAAATAGGTTGTTATTATACAAAATTGTTCACACTTTTAACGGAATATGTGCGGATCTTTTTATTCCAGATACTAATACGTCAATATTGTGTTTTTCTTTATGCCTTCTCACGGCGGAGGTGTTGTTTACGAAATTGAGACGACGAAAATGGAATGTGCGGCGCTTTAACGTAGTTGGTAGATATTGAGGATCCACCTAGAGGAGTTGGAAAACCCTGATCCCAAATCAATGGTGCACATGGGCTCCAGGATCCTAAAGGAACAAATGGCATATGACCCAATTATTGGTCACCGCATACAATGGGACTGCATCTCTTGACGTCGCTCCACTGCATTGTGCATTATACGTTTAGGTCAAAGGCTCGGGGTATGGACCCCTAAGAAAACTACCTGCTTCGGTTTGGGCACACGGGTAGTATCCCAACGCTTACACAAATCGGATGATTTATGTGGCGCATATTTATTTGGTGCCTCTTTGTACCAATGTTTATTTGTTTAAACAAATAAATAATAAATAAATGCATTGTCGATTTCTGATGAGAGTGAAAATTGGATGAGGAAGGAAGAGAACAGCATGATATAAACCAGAGTTACCAGCATACTATCCCTCTAAAATAGCTACACAAAACTATATATATATATATATATATATATATATATATATATATATATATATATATATATATATATATATATATATATATATATATATATCATTGTGTACTAATGATTTTATATTAAAACATAATTTATCAAATTTGTGGATCCGTTTTTCTTATTGGTTGTTTGAATCTTACCACTGATGTTTAGAACTGCAGTTGGTCAGTCTCTTATTGGCATATGTGCATCTTAAGAGTATTGCCTCCATATTGCCTTAAGTTACAAGCATTATAAACAAAGATGAACGGTGACTAGCAGTGGAATCCAAATAGGACGAAACGCTCGTCTTAGGATCCACTGCTAGCCATCATTTTTCAATGCTTACAAATTTATGAATGTTATTAATCAGAATTAGTTACAATGACTCTTATCCTGGAACACTTATGCCTTTTCGTTTTTCTCAAATCATATTGTCCATGTTATACTTAGTGTTTCCTACCACTACTAGTGATATTTTGATTACCTTTACTACTCTGATATTTGGTTTGATAATTTTATCCTATTTTGTTGATATTGTGTTGTGGTAACCTGAACTGGCACGCGTATGTGTCAGAAACCAATATTATTTAAGACTACTACTATTTGAGTGGTCTGATAAGTAATTTTTCATTTTTTTCTTTTTCAATAGATCAAAAATTTACATGAGGAAATAATCCCTGCTCTAGAGTTGAAAATTAAAGCTGAATTAGATAAACTTACTGATGTACGCAGTCAACGAGATAAGGTAAAATATAGTATGTACTGAGATAATTTACCTGCTTGTAGGTTTGTTATACCTGTATCCCTATTCATTTATATATTGACTGTTTACGAAAAATTCATAGCTTGTTATGTTGTTTATTTATTAAAGTTTTAAATAGTACTTTCCTCTTAATTAATTGCATTTGAAATGCTAGTCTCACATCCTAAGGTTTTACCACTTTTGTGTTTGACGTCGAAATGAATTGTATGACTACAATCTATACATTTGCCAAAATAAATAACCGTCAGGTTCACTCACTCTTCGCTTGTCAATGTTAGCCTACAATGAATTGTATTTGCAAACGATTGAGGATTCCTTTAATAAAAGGTAACGAATAGGAACTCGAATGAACCAGATATTTGTCATACGACAACATTTCAACTCAAATAATACCTACACTACTAGTGAAGACAAGACTGTGAGCGTAACTTTTCATTCCGTGCTCAAGTTAAATTTATGAAGAAACAACTCTAGTTTAACGACCTTAGGACACAAGAAAACAAAATAAAAGCGACAACAGGCAGTCTGGTTACAACAGATGTTATTGCGGTAATACGATTTAGAAAACTGTTGTGTGGTTATCCTTCAAAGAAAGGACTAACATGCAATAACAAAAAACTAAACAACCATATCTCTTATAAACTGTCAACTGTTGTATTTAAATAATGCTAATGTTTAGTGTACACTATTCTCCAAGTGACTTGGGACACAGTTCTTAAAATCCTGTTGCTTAACAGCCTGAAATAGTTGTTTTGGTTTTTTTATATTAAACTTCACTAGTTTTTTCACTTAATTAGGTTTTATATGTTGTATAAAGTTATAGTTATCGTACTTAATAATAAGCATGTTCGGGATTGTAAGGGTCATGAATAAGATGCTGATCATTAATTGGTGCGTATTGGTACAATCATCAACTCAAGACCCCAACTGACTTAATGTCAAAAAGCAACATAAGTGGCCAGGAGGATAAGATTTTTCTTTCAGTAAAATAATATTCTTATATATCCGATAACAAATGACAAATTAAACAAAATTAGAGATAATTTGAAAAAATGTGATTATAGGAAATTATTTCCTTAGGTTCACTCACTTTAATTAAACTAAGACCTAGCTATAAGGCTTATTTGTCATATCTCTATGCAATATCCGTTCAACTAGGAAATATATCTTCTGGTATCACTGGAATTCACGGGTAATAAGATTGTATCTACTTATTCACTATTTAACTTGTCTGCAACGAAGTCTGAGTTTGATGTGTTCACTTATTCAATATATATATGAAAGAATTACCGTTTAGTCTTTGATTATTGAACCATTCTCCACGTTTACTATTTCTATGATAACTCAGTTTATCATTTATTACATTATAGACAAGTGCTCTACTTGAAACATATCAAGCAGATGAGTCTTTAGCGAAAGCAGTACAAGGTGATTTAGCAATATTAGAACGCTTAGAAAATGAATCTTATGAATTAACAGTTAAAATTAATCAATTCAAATATGAATTTACAGATATAACAACAGGTTAGTGAAATTATTCTTCCTTTTATTTTCCCTAATAAATATATGTATATATTTAATACTTGAAAGTGAATTCTGTTTTAATACTAAACTTTAAGTTTATTTCAGTTGTTGAGATCATGAGTCAATTGAAGGTAGACCACCATGAAAAACCTGGAAATTTTCAAACACTTGTTACCTCTATATTTTAGTTAAATCTATTGATCATCACAAATTTGTTTTCAAAACAAATTTAATACTACGTTTAGTTTTACTTTGTGGTGGTGAGACATGACCGGTAAGAGTAGAGGATATTCGTAGACTACCACTATTCGATCATAGGGGTGTTCGAAGCATTGCTCGTATATCCTGGGACCACCGAGTAGGTAATGCAGTTATTAGGAAACGTGTAATAGGTAAGGATGGCAAATCAATTGAAGAAGTAATGAAACTTCATCAGTTGAGATGGCTGGGATATGTGTTACGTATGCTCAACTACTGACTGCCTCGACGTGCAATGTTTTATGGTGTAGGGTTGGGCAGACCAAAACATGGCACAAATCCATGGAATCAATGGCAAGTGGACTGAACCATGTTGGTAGATGTAGACTACCTGTTTGCGATCTGCGAGACGATAGCAACCGACGGCTAGAGACCTTGAATGACATGGCTCAAAATCGTTTTTAATGGCGCAGGTGCATGCATTCTTAGTGTTTTCCCAAATTCTAATCTTCTGAATTGTTCATGTCACTTTTTTTCTCTTTCCAAATTTATTTACTCCTTAAATAACATCTTCAGACCCTAATGTTTTCGATATATGTGGTATGGCAACTCGAATTGATGTACGTACGTACGAAGTTCTATGCTGTTACTGACTGACTGATTGACGTTTAGTTTTGCCGTAGAAAAAATAAGTGTTACGAGTTTGATTTTTTGTCATAACTTCATATATATATTATAAATCTGTTAAATAATAGTAAATGGAATATTTGCTTTCACAGACAAACTTACATGATTAATTATTCGTTATAGTAAATAATTTGTATACTTTGTTGTGTCATTTTGCACTAAATAACATTCTGCTGTTTTTTTTACCAAACAGATTCTCAATTAATTGATGGGTTGCAAGAAGAAAGAAAGTCGTTACGTGAATCATTGTAAGTGATTGTATTCAGTTATCGTTCATATCTTTGTTTGTTTTTGTAAACATTTCTTTCGTTTAAGTGTAGAATTAAAATTTATCATTTGATCATGTATGATGATATTGTTGATAGTTTATTGTAACGTACATGCATACCATTTTAAAAAACCATGATATTGTATAAATATTTATTTAGAATGATTATAAAATGAGTTTTAGCCAATCACTATAAGGGTAACTTCAATACCTAGAGACCTAGTTAACAAACGTAAGTAATAATTTCATATACACGAAAAAAGAACACTATGGCTAATGTCAACCAGCTGTGTGAATATATGTAACAAATTGATGATTTCTACTATTCATTTCAGAAGACCTATTATTATTGATTATTAGAAAGTAAATAACATTCCATTGAATATTGACTATATCCTCTTTTCTATCAAACGTCACTTTGATTCTGTGCAGAGAAATCTCATTCGAAAAAAGAAGGTCCGTAAAATAACTTCATAAACAACAAAGATTGTTGTAGAAATTATTTGAATTGAAATAATTTTCTTTATATCCAAAGTTTGTCTAAAGGGTGCAAAATGAGTCGTGCTGTCGCTCATGTAGCACTCATACATATGTAACACAGTGCCATCAATACATTTTTATTATTCTAAACTGAGATCCACTTGAATTGGGACGTTTTAAACAATTTATTACCATTTTATCTTAACTACGGAACATCCATAACATTACCAGTTTTTCTAAAAAAACAAGTTGGATTTCAGGTTTATCAAAGTTGAAGAACTACTAAAATGCTGGGATTATTTACTAATAACTTCATCTTAATTGAAAAAAAAATTCATTGAATAGCACATTTAATACTTTTTAATTGAGTCCGTTGTATATCTTTATGGAACCTAGTTTGCAAAATCATTAAATTAAACGGTTTTTGTTGCCCACACTAAATATGAGATTTTTTAAATTTTGTCAGGAGCTTTTTACTCTCTGTAATCAACCAGGCATAGTGCTATAAATAGAGGGTATGATCAAATATCCGATTTCAAAACAATCATTTAACAAAAAATGGGCTTTCTGAACTTTATTTCTTGATAATCTCAGTTATATACTAGTGGTGAATTAGATTGAAAATATTGTGCATTTACGAGATTTTCTTTTAACTTTTATCAATCCGTGATAATAATAAATAATCGCTTTAAAAATATTCTGCTTCTCTAGACTAACAATTTCTGAAACTATTGAGCAGAAACAAAAGCGTGTTGACCAGTTGAATCAGGCTCAACGTGAAGCTGTCAGTGAAATGCATAGACTTAAAGATCAAATGCATAAGGTATGCTTTTGTTTGTTTGTTCTGGCTAGTGAAATTTATTTTTACAAAAAGATATCATGAATAATCTATTTCTTTGTTTGTTTATTTATAGTTGCAGCAAGAGAATTTAGATAATGTTCAACTGAAGAATGATCTTTCTCGTTTAACTCGTGACTGTGAAACTTTGAAAAAAGAACTATCTGAATTAGAATCTGAGCAACTTCCAGCTGTTCATCGTCGATGGACTGAAGCATGCGATGAACGCAGTCGTGTTACTAAGATCCGTGAAGAAAATATTGAACAAGCTACTACAAAGGTAGGTCATTGAACTATCCTAAATCAGTGTTTTATAAATTTATCTACAGTAATAAATTCTGACAATTCTTTCCAAAGACGTTTTCTATTATCGTATTGTAAACTTTAGTATTTTGCTGCTTTAAATAGGTTAATGAAATTGATGAGAAACTGAAGATGCTGACTGACGCATGTACTTCGGTCAAATTCGCATTCAATTCTCAACCCTTAGAACGATTGAAGGTGATTCTTGAAACTGTAGAAGAACTTCAAAAGAACTTATCTCTTGTCAAATCTGAGGCTGACACCTGTAGTCAAAATATCGAACTCTTAAAAAAACAAATCAACGAACATAAAGTATGTTTAATATTTCAGTAATATAGCGTTTGTAGAGATTTTAAACGTTATGATTTTGTTTTTACTTTCAAATTTTCATCCATTTTAAATTTCGTGGTTTACAACACGGACTAATCTTCGTCAAAAAACCATTTGAACATCTGTATGAATGGACTATTCTTTTATGCAGAATTTATTTGATATGAAACATTTATTAAAGAGAATTATTTCATTTAACATTGAAAATTACTTCACATCTATTAAAGTTTAATAAAGTATGATTTCTTTTGCATGGATGAAATAACTTTTGAAGTAGTCATATTTCCTATTATTTCCAGTCTTATAAAATTGATAATCACTTAATATTTTCAGGCGTATATATGGTTATTTCGAACTGTTTGAATATATAACTAAATTATTGTGAACCACTGGTGTTATCTGTACTGTTTTCATCGAAAGCCTATATTGTTTCGTTTAAGAACTACCTATTTCATAACTTCTCAACTTATAAATTTTTTGTACGTTTTGTAGATGCGTCAGCGAGAATTGACGGATTGTGTCCAAGTTCGTCAACTACGTTGTCAACTTAGCTTTCTCACAGAACGAACAGAATCCCTTGCCAAAAATCAAATGATTTGTGATAATATTCCTTTATCAGATCAAGATTTAATTAACGAAACTAAACGTTTATCATTAGAAGAGGAAAAACTTCATTCACTTGTAGGTACTTTGTTTCAATGTTGGTCTTTTTCATTTACGTTTGTGTATTTGATTTATAGGACATAGTTCGTGGAGCCTGCTTACAGTCATATTTTGTTAGCCTACATTGATACTATTGTTAATAAGTAAACTAAATGATCTGACCTATCTAGGTTACTACATGTTAGTAGCTTATCCAAGTAAGCTGATTGATGAGAAGGAACTTGTATACTCGGGATGATTGAGTTATATCTTTTTTGATCCACTATCGATGGGTTTTACAATGAATAACTTGAAGCATTTGTTTGGTATTAACAGTATTCTTATATAATTGATAATGTCTTCTCTTTGTTATAATTAGTTTGATTATTAATATTCAAAGAAATATACCAAAATTATTAGATAGTACCGATAGTTTCGCTAAATCCGAATACTGTTCAGACAGCGTTTTGGCCATGGTGTAGGTAAAATGAATTTCTTGTTACTGATCGTTTCCACTCAGTGGCCATCATAATTCCTATATAATCTCAAAAGTTTGATCACCGTTGTATGTCAAGATCATTTATTTCACTCATTCATGACGACGAAGATCACGCTGAATTGTTACTTTCATACATTTCGGAATAAATATTAAGAAATAAATATCAAAGCAAATGAATGAGTTTTTCATATAAAATGTTTTGTTTTTACGTAAATACATTATACAAGTTATCTTATATTTGAGACATTAAAAAGAAGAATATATTTGTAAAATCTCAGCGAATGAATTTTAAGTAAATCCAACGTTTCGCCTGGCAATCTGGTCCAAGCTTTTTCAAGGAAAATATAATCAAACAACAAAATTATCGAATATAAATAGGTACATGGTTCTCTGGTTTATTGTATACTGAATAAGTCATCCAATCAACGTGAAGTATTTTCATAAATATGTATTTGTATTAATGTGTAAGAGACATGTTTATATGAAAATTAATAAAGGTCAAACAATAAAAGTCCATTTGAAAATAATCAAGAGGAGAGAAATTGTCGTGTTATCCTAGGCCATAGAATGACTTAAGGATTACAAAGTAAATTCAAGGTTATGACAAATTGTTTTGTTCACATAAGGACAAGGTATGTGTTAAGATAACAGAATGTGTGTATATATGAAATGAATCAAAAATGCCACATATTGCATTAAATGATGATAAATAAGATAAGTAAACAAAATAAAAGAGGAATGTATATGTAATTGAAGGTGTGTGTTATTTTAAAAAGTTCCAGTCAATTGTCATAAATATATCAAATGGCAAAACGGCGATCAGGTTTACTTATTAATTATTAGTTGCCATGGGACAGCTAGTTGAATTCCATCTCTCCTATTAATATTGTTTGAATTAGCCCATATATGTAGGGCTTCGGCTGTTAGTCGTTCTTTATAAGAATTAAATCCTTTTTGAATGATTTTTGTGCCATTGAAATCAACTGTATGACCCGATTCAATCGAGTGTAATGCTATCGCTGATCTGTTCTCAAGCTTTTTTACATCAATTGAGGATTTAGGAATGTGCTTTAAGCACAGTTTGTGTTCCTTCACCCTCACATTCAGTTGCCTTGATGTTTCACCTACATACGTTGCATTACAATCATTACATTTGATTTCATAAACACAATTCTGTTGATCATCCTTGTGTATTGGATCTTTGATTCTTACTAGTTTTGATCTTAGAGTATTGTTTGTTCGAAAGAATACTCTTATATTTTGACGAATTAAAATCCTTCTGATGTCTTCTGAGATACCTTTACGATATGGGATCACTACTGTGTTCAACCAATCTTGCTTAACTCTTTTTTTAAACATATCATTACGTTCTTCATTCTTAATTATTCTTTTTATAAAAGCTTTCGGATAATTATTCATTAATAAAGTGGATACAACTAAATTCATTTCCATTTTTAAATCATTTGGTTCAGTGACAAGTTTTTTGACTCTGGTGATCAAATTTTTGGCCACTGTCACTTTGGTCGCGTGTGGATGCGCAGACTTAAAATCTAAAAATTTTCCTGAATATGTAGGCTTTCGGAATATATTAATTTTTAAACAAGCATTATCCTTCCTTTCAACCAGGCAGTCTAGAAAAGGTAATCTACGTTCATGCGATTCCAACTCTTTAGTAAACTTGATTTTGTCATCTAAGCTGTTGAACCTTTGGAATAGTTCGTCTAAACCATCTCGTTTTATAATGACAAAAGTATCATCTACGTATCTTATCCAAATTTTTGGTGGAATGGAACACATTGAGATAGCAATTGTTTCCAATGAATGCATGAATAAATTAGCCACAATTGGCGAGACAGGTGATCCCATAGCCACACCTTCTGTTTGTCGGTACAGAACTCCTCGAAAAATGAAAACAGTTGAATGCAAGCAAAGCTCCAACGCTCTAATAATGTCTGATGGGCCTAGAAGGCAGCGTTGTTTAAGTTCAATATCAGAGTCTAACAAGTTATACACAATATCTAAAGCTTTTTTAACAGTAACATTAGTGAACAATGAGCAAACATCAAAACTTGCCATTATTTCATCCTCTTCTATCCGAATATTACTTACAATGTTTTTGAAATCATTAGAATTTTTTATTCCATATTTTATTACGCTTTCATATGGTTTAAGAATTTTGGCCAAGTATCTAGAAAGATTATAAGTTGGTGAATTAATGTAATCAACCACTGGTCTTAATGGTACATCTGTTTTGTGTATTTTTGGTAGGCCATAAAATCTACACGGGTTATTGCTTTTTGGATATAAAGAGAACCATAAAGATGAACCTAGCTTTGGCTTTAAATTCTGTAGTAATTTGGACGTTTCAGCTTTCAACTTATTTAAAGTGGCTCTACATTTGCTCTTCATGATTTTTTCATACGGTCCATTATGGAGATGTTCATTGACTTTTCTTTCATAGTCAGAATTGTTCATAACCACAGTGGTGTTTCCCTTGTCTGCTTTCATAATAACAATTGTTTTGTCTTTCCGTAACTGTTTTATGGCATACGTTTCTTCTTTAGAGATATTAGGTGTATTAGGTTTTTGATTCAAAATTACAGCTGCGATTTTAAACCTCAATGAATTTGCCTGATCATTCGGAACATTGTTTAAGGCAGGCTCGATCAACGGAATAATTTCAGAAGCCGAAATCTGTGTTCTGTTCATATTAAAATTGAGACCTTTTTTAAGTATTGAAAGTTCGTGTTGATTTAACTGTCTATCCGATAGATTTACCACTATTTTGTTTATATCTAGTTCCTTGGATTTATTTTTCATCTCATCATTGTTGGATTTTGACGAATGTTTAAACATTTGTTCTCCTCTTGATTATTTTCAAATGGACTTTTATTGTTTGACCTTTATTAATTTTCATATAAACATGTCTCTTACACATTAATACAAATACATATTTATGAAAATACTTCACGTTGATTGGATGACTTATTCAGTATACAATAAACCAGAGAACCATGTACCTATTTATATTCGATAATTTTGTTGTTTGATTATATTTTCCTTGAAAAAGCTTGGACCAGATTGCCAGGCGAAACGTTGGATTTACTTAAAATTCATTCGCTGAGATTTTACAAATATATTCTTCTTTTTAATGTCTCAAATGAACTCGGCGCCCAAATATTGTGAAACTATTCGTTTAAATTTAGACGAAAGTTCTTATTTATCTTATATTTGTATTTAAAGTAATTAAATAAACTAATGCATACAGTAGTACAGTATACTTTGTTACAAAAAGAAATGAGATTTGACTATATTTAATCATGTACTAAGAAAAACTTAATTTGTATACTATACAATTTAGAAACAAGACATATCCAATCAACTAAGTGAATTAAACGCAAAACTCTGTTATCTTAATCGTGATTTGAATGAAAAATATACCAACGCTGACAGTGAATATCGTGATATGATGTATCAGCTTAAAGTAAGTATTATTTCTACATTTTTTTAAATCTAAATTTATATGAATCTTTTATAAATATAAGGCTGTTTTTCCAATACAAAAGAAATCTCAAAGTTGTATTATACAACCTTTTTATTCTTAATTTAAAACAACAACCTTTCTGATCGGTAATTTTTATGTCTATAAAATTGTATAAGTGAATAGGAGTATGCTAAATATATGGATAATATAATTATTCATGAATCCAATGGACCTAGAATATGGTTTTTCTCTTGTCATCAGTATTTCATGATTGTGCTTAGTTGTCTTCAAAAATGTTGATTAATTAATATAAATAAGATAATACTTATACGCTTAACTTTATCATCCATTCTCATCAACACAATTTCCACACAACAAACATTTCCAATTCGTTTAAAATTCTTTCTCTTTAGTTGGCGAACAAACTTAACAGTTTCTCTAAAGTATATTTATTTGTCAGTATAGGGGTTGTGAAGATTATTTAGTTTTTGATTGAGATCACGAACCGATTGATGTTAGACCACCATTGAAAACCTGAAAGCACTGAATGGCCGTTTCGTCTCATTGTGGGACTCCTCAGCAGTGCGCATCCACGATCTCGCCTGCGGGATCCGAACCTAGGTCCTTCAGTCTCGCGCGCGAACGTTTAACCTACTGGACCACTGAGCCGGAACCCAATGGTGTTATTGTCTAACCTCAACCAATGCACGAAATTGCACCACCATGTTCCATTGTACTGAGGTAGGTACCTGTCTCTACCCGACACGGAAAAGCTCCACTGGTCACGGCTATTAAAGTTTATACTGACAAACATATCAGTTTAAATGTTATTATTTCACGAAATTCTTAGTGTCGATGTGAGTGATTGTTTGAAAATTATTTGTTTGTTTTCTTTTTTCATTATTTAATATTTAGACTTCAGAATTAGCTTGTTCGGATTTGGAACGATATTATAAAGCTTTAGATAGGTATATGATTTTTTGTAAATTAAATTTTTGTTGTTGTTTTAAACTATCCAAATAAATAACCAAGATAGATTCAAATAGTGTTTCTAGTTCCTATACTTTATGATCCAGTACAATACCCGTAATAGTTATTTCTATCCCAAAATTGTGTTTTACTTTTATTACTGAAATTCATTTGTGGTGTTTGTGTTCGCATGAAATAGTTTTACAAGTTTAAGAGTTTACATGTTTGTCTTACTAGTTTAATTTATGTTTAGATGACTCTGTGTCTCAAGAAATTAATCAATCATGTATTTCTTTTTTGATGAGTTGATAGATTCTAGGGGAGAACTTGACCGTTTGTATTTTTTAAATATACACTTATTTACCTGTGATATAAAGTTGAATGATGTGGTTGGAAATTATCAACTTAAGGTATGAGGGTGAATTCGCACTTCTGATTGAACTGGTGTTTGAATTCTGTTGGTCCATTTCGGGTGATCCTGCCTTCCTTCAGTTACAAGAAAGAGTTGTGTATAGTAAACCGTTTTACCCTTCTCACAGACCTTCATACTTTGCACTATTTAATTTCAAATTAATTTAACTTGTTTATTTATACTATGAAGAAGGGATTTACACTGAGTCACGAAACGTCAGAAAATTTATTTTTCTACTCATTGAGATATTATAAATATAGTATTTTTCTTAAACTTAATTTGTGTTTATTTTTCTTCCCTTTAGGGCGATAATGTCTTATCATGCTGTTAAAATGGCTGATCTAAATAAAATTATCCGAGAATTATGGCGCAGTACATACCGTGGCAATGGTTAGTTACTTGTAATAATTAATTTGAATTAAAGTTGATAAGCTATAATTATATTTGGATGAAATGCTTGATACTGGCAGTATTTTTTAAATACTTATTGGATCTACTAAATGTATATTTACAACTGATTGGACACTGGATACCGACGAATGTCATATGTGCCAGATCCTTCTTAGTTGTAGATTCAGTTCTATAGACTGAGTTGAAATATGACCACTAGTCTAGGTGATTCAACATTGCGTGCACTATGTTGAGATGTAAGATGGTGATTGGAGGTAGTCGACACGAAGCCATAGGTTTCGTGCTATTTGGCACTCGTCAGCAAGGTGTACCTGTAGTCATGAGGGAACTGATGCTCCCTGATGAATTCGGTCCCATGTCACCTAGCTTCACAGTCAGAGACGTCTTCACTGAGATATTCGAGCCGGAAATCACCTGCTCCGGGGCTGAGACTTATTTACAATTGATTGGTCATTCAAGTAAATATTGAATAGCAGTATTTATTCTTTGGTAATTCAGTTTGTATCATTTACTGAATATATACGAAACAGTTTTTTCTCTGGTATCTATTATGCATTTTTGATTGTAAGCATGTTTTTTTATCTTCCAATTATTGTCATATTCTTTATGGATAGAAAATAACAATTACCTCGTTTTTGTGGCAAAATGTCGAAGTGATGAACCTGTCGTATTATAGTAAAGGGTAGTTGTGACCTTTCATATGTTCTACTTTGCTGATAGAAGTCTTGTAAACGTGAGATTTTTCATGACCTATATGTTATGTGAAAAGAATCAAGTAACGAATTCCATAGATCTCCTGCTAGTAGTTTTGCGTGTATAATAGTTAAATTTTGCATCATATATAAATATTTTTTCCGTGTTTTCGTCTAAGATTTTCTCGAAAGTGTGTTTTATCATATCTTATTAATAGTACAAGGACCAAATGTAACCTAAACTGAAGAAAAACTGTTTAATCATTATTTCAAAATGTTTCTAATACTAATCAGGGAAATATGAAATCATGTTTCTTTTCACACCACAGTATCGAGTACTGACTTTTGATGGACTAAGTACTAACCATAATTTATATTTTACTTTCAGACATCGATTACATTGAGATATGTAGCGAAGAAGATACAGCTGCTGCTTTGAATGTTTGCAGAACGCGAAGAACTTATAATTACCGTGTGGTTATGGTGAAGACAACAACAGGAAGCATGTCAGTTTCTCGGTCGAAGTCAAAAAACAACACTTCATGCAATAACGAAGCCCGTTTAGATATGCGTGGACGATGTTCAGCTGGGCAAAAAGTTCTAGCCAGTTTAATCATCCGTTTAGCACTGGCTGAAGTATTTTGCCTACATTGTGGAGTACTTGCTCTTGATGAACCAACGACAAACCTCGACCGAGAAAATATTGAAAGTTTAGCTTATGCTCTGGTAGAGTAAGTGATTTTCAGCGGCGCATATTATTTCATATTTTACCAAAACATGCTGTGATTTTGTATTAAACAATAAGTCGGTTATCTTCACTAAGTCCTCGTTCACTACGCCACTATTAGTAGTAGTACTGGAATGATTTAAGGAAACTTCATGTGTAATAAATAAACAAATTCTAAAAATTGAAACATACAGATATTTTTGAAAGAAACTAACATCCCAGTTCATATTGGTTGTATTTATTGATTTTAAGTTGGATAATTATACCAAATGGTTTATTTAAAGATTATTAGTTTTGTATAGCCTCACTGATTGTTTTCATCTGAACAATGTTAAAATTTATAAATAAATTGATATATTTGTAATATCTCAATGTGTAGAAAATTTAAATTCTCTGACGTTTCGTCACTCAGTGTAAGCCACTTCTTCAGAGGATAAATAACCAAATCAAAACTGATTCAGGTTTAAATAGTACAACGGAACAACAAGAATATTATGTGATCAATCAAAAAACAAGTTAAAATTTGTTAGTTCTGTTCTGTCTTTTTTTAATGCATGTATTAGATGTAGTGTTTTGTACTGTCAAGTTTTACAACTGGTTGTATTTCAATCTATAACAACATATATAATCGAACAATATTATTTTTGATTAGATCCTCATCAGGCTTTACTCTAATATACAGTAATATTTGTATGTATATACGAAATTATCAAACCAATCAAAGTATTTTATGGGTCACTGATAACAGTGGAATTGATTACATGAATAAATATAATAAGTGAAAAGTACAAATTGGTAGTGTGATGACATGTGTATGATAGAACCGAGCTTTGTAAACCTTCATTATAAGAGAAACCTAGTAGAATGTTTTACAAATAGAACTAGGAAGATATGCTCAGTCGATAAAATAAACACACTTGGTCGATAGCGCTCATGTAGTAGACAGAAATAGGTCATTTATAGTTTTTTTCTCTCTCAAATATACGTTTCATGATCCAATTATCTGAACACTTCTTATTACATATTCTTATAACGCTTATGAATGTTATTTCAGTGTCTATATTTTTTCTAATCATTGACCTATTCCCCATTATATAACATTGATTCAAGCGTTTATTATTCTTATCACAACTAGTACACCTGTCATCCCATTACGAATTTGTACTTTTATTATATTTATTCATGTAATCAATTTCACTGTTATCATTGACCCATAAAATACTTTGATTGGTTTAATAATTGCGTATATACATACTAATATTACCGTACATTAGAGTAAAGCCTGATGAGGATCTAATCGAAAATAATATTGTTTGTATGTTTTTTCTAAATCACAATATGGTAATTTTTCACATTTTAATCTATATAGAGTACGCGAACGTGATGATTAGTTTTTTACCGGTTGAGTCATTTAAAGGTGTAGAATACTTTGCCCTTATTTCACTTATTTGGTCGGGAAAATTAAGTTTTCAAGAATGACAAATTTTCCTTGTTGTTTTGCTATTGTTGCAAGATTTGTTTTGATCCTCTCAGTTGACAAGCCAACAACTTATGCTTGTGTGTAACTGTACGGTAAAAGATTTCTCCGAGCATGATCAATATTATTTTCTTTTATTTAGAATTATAAAAAGCAGGAGCCGTCAGAAAAACTTTCAGTTAATCGTTATCACACATGATGAAGACTTCGTCGAATTACTTGGTAGATCAGACTACGTGGAAAACTTTTTCCTATTATCACGTGATGCACAGTAAGTCGGAATAAATAGATCACAACCAAACTTAATTTTCTTTTTTATAGAGGTTTATCAGAAATTAGAAAAGTCCCTATTGGAGAACATTTTCATTAAAATATACCTACTGTTTATTTAAATTATATAAATGATTTCATGAGGACTTCTTACTTGTTAAATCACTATTGTCTAGCTCATTTTCCTCTCATTGTATATGAAACAACAATTAACGGTCATTCTGATAGATGTGAGTGCTTTTCTGTTTTATATGATAATTTTTCTCAGGTAGTATTAGTCTGCAAACAAGCTAAATTCTGACCGATAAACTAAAAATGAGTACAGACGTGCGTATGTTCATAATACAGTGGACCATGTTGTTGATCAGCTTAAATTAAGCTTACAGGATCTCCTAACCATCTAAATTATGTGAATACAATGGAATCCTAAAATAAGCTAATAGTGAGTTAATATCCACAATAATTATATTTTTGTTATATCCCGATGAGTAAGAAAATTGTACTTCTGACGTTTTGTGACTTAATGTAAATCAATTTTTCAGAGTAAATGAATGATTTAGTTCAGTTATTTATTTACTCTAAAAAAGTGGCTTACATTAAGTCACGAAACGTTAGAACTACCATTTTTCTACTCATTGGGATATAACAAAAAAAATATTTATTACTAACTTTCTACCTAATGCTCAATTTATTTGAAACTATCAAGTCAACCTTCGGCAGTGATACCTATAAATTCATAATAAGGTCATTTGTTGTGTGTTTTGAGTTAGCGATTGTTATTATCTACTGTACGGAATATCAGTAGTCTTGAAATGGAAAATTGTCCTACTTTATGCAAATAAAAAAGGATGATATCGTCAATTGACAATCGTAGGTTTTGATGATAACAAAACTGTTAGTTACAACCTCAGGTTAATACCTTTCAAAACACTTACAACCAGTCAAATTGTGTTAATTTTGAAGAAAGAACAATTTTATCGCCTGACATAAACGTGCCACCGTATAGTTCTGTCCACCATGTACCGTTTCCTGGGTGAAAGTTCTTTGAATTTTCCTTTAATTTTCAGCATCAGTAAGGTGTGAATAAAATATGAACCTGTTGCACGGTTGCAATTAAAGTTTGTCTTTTTGCCGAAATAATACCACTTCAAATCTATTCATTTACGATCGTGTACAACATTTCATGTGTTGCAAATAAATAACAATTCGCATGAAAAAAATAAAATGTATCTCCAAACTAAACACATATTTGACATTTGAATTAATTTGTGAAACCCATGCACCAATAAAAGTGTGAATAAGGAAGTTTGGATCGGAATCTATGTGTAAGTACAAAATTGTTATCTACAAAAGACATGTATAATTCAAGGTATGCCTAATATGATAGCATGTTAGAAAAGAAGTGAATAGCCACAAATAAACACGGAAGTATTGTTTAAATAACTTTGGACTTTAGGAAAAAAATGAAGCGTTCCTGTAGATTCTTGCATATTGCGGTAAGAAAAAAATATTGTGACCTTTATGAGCTTCTCTTTAACTTTCAAGTTTTTCCGTTATTTTATTAGTGAATATGAAACACGAACATTTAATTGTTTATTGTTTTCAACCTGAAATCGTTATTCATAATAAACTAGATGCGTAAAGTGTTATGAACGAGCAATTTAATAGACAGTGAGATCCGAAACAAACTAAGCAATGTGATTTCAGTATGAATCGAAATGAATTAAACAGTGCATTGTTACGTAAAATGTTATATAACACACTTAGAATCTACAAATATCCATGAATGTTTAAAAATACTTGATGTTTGGGTATGTATAAGCCCAGTTAGCTAACAGAAGATGATTTACATAAATCTCGTTGACGCAAACTAGAAGAGATTTACATAAGTTTATTCAAGGGGAGGAATGTTAATGATGGAAATCTAGGCTAAAATCCACTTGATATACGTTGAGTTATGCTTAGTTTTAATTAACATTTCCAGTATGAGAAATTATTTTATATTTTAACACATAGATATTGGTACACGGAGGCACCAAATACATATGCGCCACACAAGTCAAATTCGATATGTGTGAGGGCTGTGATACTGTCCGGGTGCCTAGACCGAAACAGGTGGTTTTCTTAGAGGGCCACATCCCGAGCCTTTGACCTAATGGTCTTACCCACAAGGCAGTGGAGCATCGTAAGGAGATGCAGTCCCATGGTAGCCGGTGACCAACAATTGGTTCATACGCCATTTGTTCCCGCAGGATACTGGAGCCCATGTGCACCATTGATTTGGAACCCGGTTAAAGCGCCGGACATTCGCTTTTCGTCCTCTCATTTTCGTAAACAACACCCCCGCCACGAGAAGGCAGTGAGTAGGACTTTCCTGGCAGAGTCTGTATACGCGTGGCCGTGTGGGAGTATTTCGAGTGGGAGGGCGAACCCACCCCGCTCTTGGCCATACCAGGGCATTTGGGGGCACAGCAAAACCGATAAACAGTTAATCGACCCATTGTATTTTGATGTTAGAGAAGTAACAAAAACTATATATCATCATTTATTGGGAAGAAAGTTATCATTCACCAACCCAGAGTCAATAGCCTATTGAGTTAAAGTTGACATTTCAATCAAGTCATTGTAAGTAATGCTCATCGCGACGAATATGGCTTGTTATATATTCCTCGAAATCTAATCTAAAAGTGGTTTTACGACGTTGTCAACTGTCATCTCTAGATTACACAGATGTTTGGAAGTGGCCCAGCCACCGACATCTTGCAAAATAAATCAAAAAGTGTACTGTCTCTGAGTTTCATGATATCGTACTTGCAGTGATGACTTCTATGGAAATATTTGAAGTATATTGATACTCAAACGAGTTAATTGAAATCGACCTTCCGAAATCCTTACTCAGCACTACACCACCGTTGGATCCCATTCCAAACAATGCATCAAGTGGTTTTGCGTGTGCTATAATCTGTTCGACATATGGTCCCATGTCTGAAAACTGGATAGAAACTAGGCAAAATATGATTTATACCATTTGTAATAAAATGTAGGTTGAGCCTATACTAAGTGATAACATGTTTGGTTTGAACAAGTACATTTGAAACTTTCATATACAACAACAACCTGTGATATCAGGTCGGATTATCTAGTGTGACCAAATAACTGATTGAGTGCACCTGGTTTGTATAAGACAGTTTAACACTTATTGAATTCTATCTCTGTTAAATAATTTTAAATATTATGAGCTGGTGAAACGAAATGTATCTCATTTAGAACATGGATCTAACTAGAGAAGTTGTGGAAGTGGATTTCGAACTTTAATAGAGTTAGATAATATATTCATTATGATATTCCTGTTTTGTGGTCAGGAAGACGGTTTAAATCGTAATTATATAAAATGTGATGTTGGTCAACTGCGTTCTAACACTTTTATTAGTTACGTATTTTGAGAAGAGTATGGAATTGCGGATTATTTTTCATCTAAACAACATCTCTAGTTGTAAAGTTGAATTTATATAAATACTGTTTTTCATAAACAATCTAACATAATGTAGACTAAGATGGCTAGGAAAATGTATTTCTGTTTATCATAGAGAATGAACACTAGCATGCTAAGAATTCCGATTTTGTGCTGGATGATTTGCAATTGTTTTCAGGTAACGAGTTTGATAACTCCAATGCCTACTCAAGGTTATTCAGATAACAATTCATTGTGAAGTTGCGAAGCAGGTCACGAAGATGAGCACAAGTTTAGTAAATGTTTTTTCTGTGGCAAGTTTCGCGCATGTAATTCATATGTATTTCGTAACGCGTTTGATGACATAAACGTTTTCTTAATATCACATCTAGAGTGAGAAATGTAGTAGGACAATATACCACTTTTCCATTCTCAAATCATTTTAAAAAGTATTAGTAAAAACAGTTGTACATAAACCACGTTATTCAAATGAGTTGTTCAATTATATCCTTACTAAACTTTGTACAAAGCATATCCCAAAAACTATCCAAGTTATAGCATTTTTGATACTTATAGATGTAGAATTTAGAATACATTCAACAAAATGATAAGTCAGTAGGATTGTAGTTGAACAGCAGCATGTAATGGGTCACCTTTTCTTGATAGAAGCTTGAGATGTTGTAGATAGACCATAAAACATTTCGCCTGATTGATCTAAAAGTGTTTCTGTTCAGGACTACTAACATCAGAGATCATTTAGACGCTAAACTGATTTTGAACGTGGAGTATGTCTCTTAAGTATTGATTACTACACAGGCAATTATAATAAAAATATTTATCATAATACAACTGGATATGTTATATCATTTGTTCGGAAAGCCAGCAGAATATACACCTAGCTCAACCATGTTTATCAATAATGATCAAAACATTTTCACTTGTCTGATCGAATGTGTCACTTCACATTGAAGATCAATAAAAATTATACTCCACAGAATTTCTGTGCAAAGTATCGTGTTGGTAGGCATAAATAGAGGGAATTTAATTCATTGAACCGAGAAATAATCTTCAAAAGATCCGAGTGAGGAAATTGTCACTAATTGGAAATGTAAAGGTTAAATAGTAAAGCGACAAAAATAAAATGTATCTTTCTGTTAAATTACATGGAAGTGGGTATTCACAAAAATAAGCATTGCATAGATGAAGATTTCACCTAACATTTGAATGGATATGTATTTCATTTTTGAACATACAGTAGGCATATCAATATTTTACATGTATTTCCATTATAGTCGAAAGTAACTATCAGGTAGTGGAATAAATTGTGTTCACATTTTAATATAACTAGTTCATTTGTATTGGAACTGAAAATAATCAATTTCTATGACCGACAATATAAGAAAGTATGTCAAAGTGTTCATTGATTCAACACATTTAAAGTGAACCCACCTAGGTTCTGTATATTTGCAATGCTTAAGTACCGAAATCTCACCATCACGGTAGAGTAAGCAACTTTTTCTCCTTATTCATTCTGTAACTTTCTGGATAGATAGCATATGCTGTAGGCAGTGATGAAAAACATATGACCAACTGAGGCACTAAACCGATCAGTACTGAAGGGAAACTAAAACAAATTGATTCAAAACACTGATAAGTTTACTTTCACAAGGTATTCAAAACGACAACAAGTAACAGTTGTTGTGAAGACTTAGGGAACATCTAAAATCAATATTTCACATCGAAGTCCAACGTGAAATTTCACTTGGTGTTTCAATCGACATCCTATGTTTACGCGACATTCAATTCAGAGTTTACCTTATTATTAATCTATCAATTTTCACGCCTTCTTTGAGCTCATTCAACTAAAAGATCTATCCAAATGGATTGGATATCCTAACATTT